TTGTGCATGGTAATGTATCACATGAAACAAAACAGTTATTGGTACCACATGAAACCACATCTGTAATACATGAGAACTGTGCTACCGACTGTTATGCTACCAACTGTTATGATCACCTTTGTAACATGTTTGTGGTACCCTGTGATATGGTACATTGTGGTACCCTAACAGTGTTTGTGTTTTCTCAGGCAACCATGTAGTTGTACATGATGATGTACATATGAAACAAAGCTGGATAACACTGTGATACAAATCAGGTTGAGCACAGTATACAAAGATGGATGAGAAAAAAACCTGGATTTATATCATTATGAATATCATTGTATAATTTTGGAATGTAAATYAATATTAATTATATATTATGAAACGCTTCTAATTTAAAAATTAAAATCTAATTTTAATTTAGGAATTGACTGAAATACCCTTTTAAATTTGTTTAAATCTAATAATTAATGTATTAAAATGATTGGTTGAGATTGGTTCTCACGGTTACCACAAACAACTCAGTTCTCCCTTGAATGGGCCATATATATATATATATATATATATATATATATATATATCCATACTATTCAAACCACACAAGGAGTTTACGCAACCGAGACTCGACTCCCTTTCGGACAGCCCCCTTCCAAGAAGATAAGCAGTCTAAACGAAAAGGTCACGACTTTTGGGCGGCTGTAAAATCAGTAGCAAACTCGACTGAAAATCGAGTGTGTTACCCGGTTTTTTTAGGCGATTCAATTCTTTTGGCGATAAAATAACGACAATTATATGCACCAACATTAAGCACATACAAGATTAAATTCGAGAGGAAAACGAGAAGAATTTTTGGGCTCTAAAGACGATTTTGACAAACCCTAATTGCTGCCATTATTATTGACCGAATCGGTGATATTCGAGTCACCGGAACAACTCAAATCTTCCTTAAACAATTCCAAAATTTATAACCCAACTACTAAATGTATAGATTCGAGACTGAGACAAAAACTTACCTCGAACCGACAAGAAATCGGTGGAACCTTGCTTGCTTTTGGCCGTCGGGTTCCCTTCTAGGTTATCGATGGACTCTCCCAAGCTCTTAGGGTTTCTCTTTAACGGCTATCACAATTGGAAGAATTAGGGTTAGGTTAGAGGAATTAGGTTAAATAAGAAAAAAAAACCCTAATCTACGTAAACCCTAATCTAAATACAAAAGCTCAAGCCCATCATCCTAATTACAAAGTTAAAGTGGGTTATGCAAAACTAACCCCTCAAGATTGGTCAACTTCTTAAACTAACCCAAACTTCAAAATATATATATATATATATATATATATATATATATATATATACGCGCATGCACAAATCCAACAGGTATTATAAAAAATATAATAAAATGTGAAAGACACAAATATTAAAATCAATATCCAATAATAATTTTAATCCCTCTTAACCACCAACTAGTCCAATTGCATGAATTATTTAATTGATTTTTAAAAGAAATGACTCTTAAATTACTAATAAAAAATGTGTTTAATCTAGCATTATATGAGAAGTTTACATTTTACAGTGAATTATATTTTTTATCCCCGTGTTTTTATTAATTTTAATTGATTGGGTCTATCAAGTAAACTTTTAACAAAGTGATTTACAATTCTCAATGACACAAGTTTATTGTTTATGTTCTTGATAGCCTATGATTTGATGTTCATGAAGTTTGTATGCTTTTGATGGTTTATGTGTTCTTGAGGTTTTAATTAAATTAATTGTGCACATATTATTTTGTTTTTCGGAAATAAAACAAGAGTCAAAGGTAAAAATATAAAAAGGCCCATCAAGCAAAGTCACTTAAGAGTTGATTATAACGGCCGTTAGTTGGAAGGAACAAAATCACTAAAATATGCACATCACGAGGACCCATTTCCTTAAAACTTTATTTTAGAGATCCATATCGTTAAATCACTAAAGCAAATGGACATAAAAACATGTTTCAATCCAATCTAACCCCATCTCCCATACTTGGCTTTGACCCGAATTTAGTTTTTATATTGACTTGCTCTCTGTTTTCACCCTATCCTTCGAATAATTACTTGAATAAATGTTGAACCTTGGGGATAATGTGAAGTAAACCATTAAGGATAGCTCAATTGGCAAATTAAATACGGGTCATGGGACTTATCCTCATAGGTCGACAATGGGATTTTTTTTTTTTGTAATTTTCCGGGTCCCATGAGAATAGTGTATGTGTGTGCAAGCTACCTCGGACACATCCAATTAACAAAAAAAAAAATATATTTGAATAAATGTACATGCTAGCATTAAATGGATTCCCATTTACTTTACACTTAGATTTGATTCAACCTGACATCTTTTAAGATGCATTTTGGCACATAAAACATGACATGACAATATAAAATGTTTATGTCGAGCGTTTGACAAATAATAGATCACATGATACACTTTTTAGAGAAATTAATTAAAATAGCCATTTTAAGACTTTGGATTCATCTTCTAGCAAATCTATCATAATATTTCAAAAATGTACTAGGTTCGCAAGTGGCACCTCCTCAATTCATGAATAGGTCAAAGTGTAAAAAAGCATTATGCTACCAACGGGAATGCGAGTCTCGCCGGTTTAAATAGGACTATAATTGCGGAATTTCTACGCAAAAACATCGAGAAAACAACAAATATTTATTTGGTTTTAACCCTAATTTTTGAACCAGATTCACAAGTGTAGGGACCAAATGTGTAAATTGGTCCAAACACTTCCGCAAGTGACAGATATGACAAACTTAGGGACCTTTATTTAATTTAAAGATTTGGTCTATACACTTGCAGAACTGATTCATATATTTTTTTAACATTTTGACCAATCCACAAATTGAGGAGGTGCCAATTACAGATTTAATGAAATTATTGAAAATTGGAGAGAGAAACGACTATTTCTACTAATTTCTCTATTTTTTTATTAAATGTTTGACAAACCATAGAAATCCGAAATAACAAAATTAAATTGGATAATTTTGATTACATATATAGAGAAACGTTCAAATACAACCCGTCTAGATTATACAACTGATGCAACCCACCTATCCACCATTCATTTTTTAATTAAGTGTAGTTACAACCAAACAAATGATAAACGCTGATGATCAAATGAACGCTCCTGATTTGATTGTAAGAATTGTAAAAATATAAAGAATTACATAATAATCCACCTCCATATATAAACCATCTAATAAGTTAAGTGTAAATCCTATTAACGTTTAAGTAAAAAATTAATACAAACTAATGGCACGCAAAGCGAAATAATATAATGGTCCGCGAAAAAGTAATAATTACGACTTAATTTTTTTTTTCAAGCGGGTACAACCCGTAGAAGAAGTGAGCGTAGGTCAAGAGAACCTTCCTTTCTGCCGGGAGAGAGAGAGAGAGAGAGAGAGAGAGAGAGTCGGAAGGGGAATTCTAGAGAGAGAACGAACGATTGTGTGCGCGTGCGAGAGTGCGAAATTTGATGCGATCGATCCACGACGATGTCAAAGATGAAGCACCTGTTGCGAAAGCTTCATATCGGTGGTAGTTGCAACGATAACAACCATCGACTGGCCGCTGCCGACACGTCATCACGGCCTCCGGCAACGACGACGCTTCACTCATCATCACCCTCATCTTCTTCTCCATCTATCTTACCGATAATCGATGGAACCGCAGCCGTTTTATCTTCTGCCGTTGAGAACGTCAGTGACAACTCAAACTCATCCACCGTTGATTCTAATTTCTTCGAAGAAGAATTTCAGATGCAGCTTGCTCTTGCGATTAGTGTCTCATCGGGATCGGCCCAGACGGGTCAACCCGACGCCGAAACCGCACAAATTAAGGCCGCTAAGCAAAGAAGTCTGGGCTGTTCGCCTTCGGAGTCGTTCGTTGAATATCTTTCACTCCGATATTGGGTAATGCATTCATATTTTTAGGTCTTAATTTTGATGGTTGTGTAAGGTCACTTCAATCAAATCCCATTCTGTATATAATTGGATGTTCGATTCACTTCAACCCTAAATTTGACCCAAGTGCGGTGTTAAACATTAATAAGCCTAGGATCGTACTGGCCTCAGTGACATAAAGGATCCTGTAATTAGATTGACTTTGTTTTTTCTAAATAGTGGAAGATGCACCTCTTGCTCGAGAGGGCAATAACTTCATATGTGAAACGACACAAATTTAGAAGATTGAAAGGATGGATTTCCAACATAGAATCGGTTACGCCTAAGTAGCACTCAAGTTTACTTCGAAACAATATTAGGGTTTTATAACAAGGTTTCCTTAATATAAGCCACAATTAACTGTAAACTTTATTAGTTAATGGAGCAATGACAAATGGTTATCATCTTCTTTGGTTTCTAGACATTTGGATTTGAATTTAAATAAATATTTTACAAATCTAAGTGCTCTTATTTCAGCCTTAACTCACATAGTGTTAGTGAATAGCCTGGCTATATAGAACTTCATAGTCCATCTCTTTCTTTTCCATCACTCCAATCAGTATGTGCGATCAAGCATCCATAACATTCTTGGCACATGCTATAGAAGCACATTCACTAAAGTTATTGCTGGCGTGTGGCTTTTTTTTGGGTGAAATTTAGTTAAATAATGTAATTTTATCACTTGTTAGTGTTTACTATCCTATGTAAGGTTACTTCTATGCTTCTGATGGCAACATGCTATTTAAAGACAAGCTTGTAATTGATTGAGAGATTTTGGTTTGTGCAGAGCAATAATGTTGTAAATTATGATGAGAAAGTGATGGATGGGTTTTATGATGTATATGGGATTACTTCAAATTCAATCACTCAAGGGAAGATGCCATTGTTGGTGGATCTTCAAGCAATAGCTGTTTCAGATAACGTTGACTATGAAGTAATTTTAGTTAACCGAGTGGTTGATAAGGAGTTGCGGTACCTTGAGGAAAGAGTTTCTAATATATCACTGGAATTCCAGGCTGCTGGGACAAGGCAGGTTATGAGTAGGTTAATTCAGAGGACTGCTAATATTGTTGTTGATCAAATGGGTGGTCCTGTTAGTGATGCAGATGAAATGTTGAGAAGGTGGACTCTCAGAAGTTACGAGTTGCGGAATTCCATGAACACTATCATTCTTCCTCTTGGTTGTCTTGATGTTGGACTTTCCCGCCACAGGGCCTTGCTCTTTAAGGTATCGAGTTTTTGCCTCTTTTATTTAGAATTTTATCTTTTAATTTGGTATGTGCAAAGGTCGTGTGACTGTACTTTCTTTATATTGCTTGAAGGTGAATATTTATTTTTATATTTTTATGCTTTCTGGTCCATTGTATTTAATTTACGTTCCTTTTCACTTTCCTTGCTTTTCTTCTTTGCCTATACAAATGGTTTGTTTGGCTGCGTAATCAAAATAGTTGAGCTGTCTGTCCTGTGACAATTCATTATCTGTCTCTACTGTTTCGTGATCTGAATTTGGCAGCATCCTCATGCAATGGAATGTTATTGATACATATACTCATAGGTCTTTCATAGTATACCCGGAGTTTCAGGCTTTGAATGAGTATGGATGCATATGTATCTACTTAGTTGTTTGGCTAGTGCATAATAGTTGGACATGTTTCTATGTAACTTCACAACACCTCATTTGTACTATCATCATGCTTTGAATCAAAAGAGGGCGTTCTTTAGTTTTAGTGGCATATGGATCGCTGTTTGACTTTAAAATTCAAAGTTAATAATTGAACATAGAACATAATATCACCCATGAGACTTCATATTATGTACTTGAACTTTAGTGTATCAGTTTTCTCAACAGTTCGTAGATAAAATGTCAAAATCTTTTAAAACTCATCTCAAAACACAAACCCCAACATTTTCCTTCACAAGGCATAACTTTAGCATTGTGTCATCCTCTCTTTAATTCCTATCATTTTCATTCTCTATGAGCACATTGTCAGCTATTCATTCAATGGTAGGTACTCGCTGATAAGATCAACCTTCCATGTAGCCTGGTCAAAGGGAGCTACTATACTGGCACTGATGATGGGGCTGTGAACTTGATCAAGATTGATGATGGAAGGTATGGTGTCCATATTTTTTTAAGTGGCTGGTCCACAAATTTGTATGGTTGTATACATATGTATGTGTGTTCAAGTGTTTTTTTTGCTTGTATACGCACACATATGTTTGTGCTATACCAATCATGCACATGTCTGTTGTGTTTCTCATCTCTATATGCAACTCTGATATGTGCTTCTTTACCATTGAAGTTACCATTAGAAAAATGCATTCACCAACACTGATCATCTGTGGGTGGTGATTCAAGATGTTCTTTCCCTATTCAAGTGAGCTAAGCAGCTCAACATTCTATGTGCTGGTATATCACACACAACATGATGTTCTAAAATGATCCTATAGATAAACTCTTGGAAACTCCAGCATCTTTCCAGCTAACATTGTTACTATCAGTTCTTGTAGTCTTAGAAGTCATATCACATAGCCACGTCGTAGAAAAAGTTGATGAGATAGGATCTGGTTTCATTGATGCAGTGAATACATAATTGATCTCATGGGTGCTCCAGGCACCCTAATCCCTGCTGAGGTGCAAAGCTGTAATCTTCCCAGTTTTGGACTAGATATGAGGAGTATTGCCAGAGGTGCTGAGAGTTTTGAGCATCAATCTCCGCTGATTGAAGTAGACACGGATTTAGTGTCTGCACCTCAACCTGGCAACGTTGCCAAAATTGGGACTCCAAGTCCTGAAGTGGTTCCTGTTGCAAGCTTACGATCGAAAGCTCAGGATGGAAAGGTGCGGAAGAGAAATCAAACTAAGAGGTTTGAGTATGATTTTGGCGAGCTTCTTCCATCCCTTGGCAGGTCACATGAAGGTCCATCAGGTGCTGGTGGGAAAACATCCCCGGCGCAGAAGTTGCAGATTAAAGATGTGTCTAACTGTGTCATAAGTGCTGCAAAAAACCCAGAATTTGCTCAAAAGCTCCATGCACTTCTGTTAAACAGTGGCGGAACATCATCTGTGTCACATTTAAATGTAAATAACCAGGAAGGAGAAGGACAAGTATGTGAAACAATTCATTTGTTAGATGCCGACATGTTGAATGTTGGCTCTCAGCATGTTCCAGCTTTAATCATGCCTTATAACGAGGAGCGTCTTCCACCTCTTACTGGAGTTGAGGCTAGCAATGTTCATTATGAAAACCCAAATACTATAATGTCTGGGTCACAAGCAGAACAAGAAATAAGATCCAGTAAAAACAATCTTGGATACAGTTTACTTTCTGAATCTACAAGTGAGAGCCATAGTTTTATACTTGTTCATGATGGTACTAGTGAGGAGGTTCTGATTGATAACTCGGTTGGTAAGGTTTTTGCCGATACTTCTATAATGATTCGAAGCACCCTAGATGTGAAGCATGGTTATGAATCTTTGTTTTCTCTTCAGTGAAGCCACTGGAAAGGAAAGATGGAGAAGGCGTTGTTTATGAACCGTGTGCAATAAATAAAGCGGGAAAGGTTGATAAAGATAATGATGAAATTGAAATGTTAGATATGAAATTGACGGAGGCATCCACTATATGCCATCCTACAGCTTATAGAACTCACAAGGAGGGGATTAGCCTAACTGCGGTTGAGTGGGAAATTCGGTGGGAGAATCTTCAGATTGGAGAACGCATTGGTATAGGTAAGATACACTTGTATCAGTTTTCCATGTGACAATTTTTATTTGTTAGCAACACAAAGTACTTCATTAACAATGAATTTGCATGAGGCTGTTCTGGATAAATGTGAAAACCGATGCCGAACTGAACTTGTGGGTTTTCAAACTCTTCTTTGGTCCCAGGCTGGATGTTCTGTTATGTGTAAAATGTATGCTAGGATATCTGATCTTCTAATGTACCATGCCAGTGAAATAAGACTGGCTATGTTTGCAAAAGACCTATTTTTTTATTTATTCGAAAATTTTGATGTGTTTTTTTGATTAGTTTGCCGTTTCTGATACCATGCCACTCTTTTTTATTTCCTTCTTTTTGGCTGTTTTGATGTACATTAGTTGTTTTCTTTTTTCTTTGCTATTTTTATTTTATGCTAAAATCTGACTAAAGAACCACCAAAACTGAAATATGGTTTGGATTTGTGTTATCTTTGTCAACGGGTGTGCTTCAAGAAGATGATGATAGAATGATGCCTTTCAAGTTCTGGTGTTTCAATGTTAATATTTTTTATATCCTTGGTATATATTTTAGTTTTTACTGTTCACAGAAGACATCTGTAGCTTAAGTGTGATTTATTGAATGTCTTCTTTTAGTTCTTCGGAACATGTGTTTGATTAAAATTACTCTGTTCATATATGCTGGAAGGCTCTAGCAGTTAGGAATATTCCACATCCAGTTTTTCTCCAGCTTATAGCAAGGGAAAAAGAGTTAGCTTGTCTGAGCAATAGGGAAGTTAGGAAATAGGAACCATTGTATTTGGTCATAAAGATGGATCTGACCTTGTTAATCTATACTATATTATAAAGCATTTAACAAAAACTCTTAAAAACAAATTGTACTGTTTATTGATGCATATTACTTAAAATTCAATAGTACAAGTGAATTGTGCGTAAGTACAATTTATTAAGACTTTATTTTTGAATTCGTATAACTAACTTCAAATAAACATAATCAACTACATAATAAACATCTCATTTTAAATATAAAAGAATAAAATATAATTAGGATAATCATTGAGTTTTAACAGAATACTTAATTATCATTCTTATAAAAATTATATTATTAAATAATAATATATTATTTGTTATTAAATCTAAATTAAATTTATAATAAAAAATTGAATTAAAGAAATTACACAGAAAACGGGAGAACTTTTAAATAGTTGATTTAATACTTATATCGATACATTTTTTTCAAGTTTATATTTCGTTTAAAAATAAAAATATTATCGTTTTCTAAAACCATGTAAAACTGTATTATATTAACAGAGAAAATGAATTAAATGAAAAATTAAAATCTAGATATATCTCGTTGCATTGCGCGAGTACCCTTCTAGTTTGAATAAAGGAAGGAAAAACACAAGCTGCAGAATAACTTAACTGTTGGGCAATTTATATGTATTATCATCATGACAGAATTATGATTGGCGTTGTGCCAAGTGTATATAATGCTGAAGTTAATAACAAAATATATTTTGTTTTACAAAGAGTTAATGCTTCTGTTAGAAGTTGCTGGGATTCCCATGAATGCTGAATGTGAGCATGTGAAGAAGCTTTTGGATCTCAACATTTTGCTATGGTTGCCTGATATGTGACTTGAGTTTCTTCTTGTTCACCTTTAGCAACTTAACTCGGTTTTACATGAAATATGTTGATAAAATTGAAAAATACTCATGCTAATTATGAAAACAAGGTGTAAAACATTTCATTTGTATATATGAATTAGTAATGTTGACATAATGTCAACTTACATGGTGGCAATCAGTTTTTTTTTCCTGTTATGATGCATCATCTAGAAAACTGACTTGATATTTGGTTGGTTCTTTGCGTCTTTTCCTTTCTATTCAGTGTTCGTATTGCAAGTTTATGCGTTCAGAGTGATGAGATCTTATTTAGAGTAACAATCTTATATTATTCTCTTTTTTTTCCAGGTTCTTATGGCGAGGTTTATCGTTCAGAATGGAACGGAACTGTAAGTTGCTTCCAAATCAGTTGCTATTTTATTAATACTATATTTGACATGCAAGTTTTGTTGCGAGTTTCTACAACTGTAGTGTTTTAGAAGACGATTTTCTGTTTAATTGTTTAAAGTTTTCATCTTTGCTCGAGCTAAGAATGTAATGGTCTTGGTTCAAGTGGCTGCATCTTTGGCCCTAAATGCTAATTTGATTTCGATTGTTATTTGAGAACATAAATTGTCTAAATTTATTAAGATTTCTTCCAACTGCTAGGCTGGTTAGTTACTTCAAAGTGATATGATGGTATTTGCTGACAGGATGTGGCTGTGAAGAAGTTTATGAACCAAGATATCTCAGGCGATGCACTAACTCAGTTTAAAGGCGAAGTGAGTGTTAGAACTTCTAACTTGTGTCATTTATTGCAGATGAATAGCTTCTTCAATACAAGTATTAGACATAGCGTCTGGCTGTCTGTTTTTGTAGGTTGAGATCATGTTGAGGTTGAGACATCCTAATGTTGTTCTTTTCATGGGAGCAGTCACTCGTCCACCAAATCTTTCCATACTGACGGAATTTCTACCAAGGTGGAGTTTGTTTTTTTATGTTTATAATATGATTTTCTTTCTTTAGAGTATTAATGGATCTTGCTTTTCAATGTTTGTTGACATCCTTTAGTTACTTATCTATTTGATATCTCTAGGATAAAAACGATTTGGTCGATCACACACAACGAATAGTGATTGTGGAAGAAAATGGGGAACACTTATTGTATGGAACGAGTAGGATGGATTGAATGGGGCTACAAGGTGTTTTGTGTTCTTTTCTTTCTCAGCTTCCTCAAGCACCAATTCATCGTGTGTGATATCTCACATCCCATATCCCCATATATATAACAAATTTTACCTTTTTTTTGGGGGGGGGGGGAGGGTGTTGAGCTCTCAAAACTCATTATTGCTTTGCATGAAAGCTGGGAATATCAACTTGCTGGAACCCATTTGGGATGGAAATGGGTTTGACACATGTTTCCTGAGTTCTAAACTTTTTCATGCATCCTGTATAGGAATACCATGATTGGTTTAAACATCAAATCAGAGTCCTCGCCTGTCTTTTTGGAACAACATTTTTCTATGTGGGAACAAGACCTCCAAAACACAATTAATCTTTCCCTTGATATAAAAAAATTGTAACCTTGCTTTTTAATAGTAAGGATGCTTAGTTATATAGGAGTTCCTGATTAGATCTCTCCTTATTTGAATTTATTTGTTTATTTTACATTAATCATATCTCACTTCTTCTTCTCCTTGAAGACTTGGATTGCTCTTTGTCTTGCTGCATTATGATGATATTATGCATCCAGGATGGGTGAAAGAACCTAACATAAATACATGATGATGGACTTCCTAATGATACATGAGCTTCATACATAAAATACTGGATTCTAGTTTAACAATCTGGAGTGGCTGAATTATTTCTCATGTTGTCTTGTTTTCTGTTTGATTTATGTTTTCCAGGGGTAGCTTATATAAGCTGTTGCACCGTCCAAAGGTCCAACTTGATGAAAAGAGGCGAATGCGTATGGCTCTTGATGTGGTAAATGTTCAGAATGATTCCCACTTATCTATATGTTTTGTATGTTTGTAATTTTATGAAATGCTTGTAGGCCAAGGGAATGAATTATTTGCACACTAGCAATCCGATTATTGTGCATCGGGATTTGAAGACTCCAAATCTTCTTGTTGATAAAAATTGGGTTGTTAAGGTTTGTACTTTTGTTTATAGTATGATAAACATTAGGTTGTTAATGTTTTAATATTTACATAACTTGAGTATATTCTTGATCCTGTTGCACCTGTTAAAAAGTTAATACCATACTAATGCCATGCTCATGTGCATCTATTGGTACATCCATAAACATTGAACTTGTTATGTTTTGATCACCCTATGGCATTGAAATATCTTGCTTATGTATGCAGGTATGTGATTTTGGGATGTCTCGCATGAAGCACCACACTTTTTTGTCTTCAAAATCTGCTGCTGGAACTGTATGTTCTTACTGAAGTGTCATTTATTTTAACTATCCGAATTGCTCCTCTCAGTCCGTTCTACTCCCTTATCATATATATAGATAGATAATAAATAGAGAGAGAGAGAGAGGTGCACCGATGTGGTCAATAATGCTTTTGGAGGACCACTTTTTGGAACATGCTCATGATAACCTGGAGGTTCTTAGCTTGAATCTCACACTTGTGTATCATGCAGTGAGTTTCCATCGGTGTGTTGATGGACGGGTGGCAAAGCTTCAGTCTGTTCGTGGTTTCTTGGGTCCTCTAAAAAAGTAATGCTTTTGGAAGAGCCTCTTAACACACAACCTCCCCTGTAGGTCTATTCAGTGGGACTTGTGTGCTGTGTAGGGTGTTCCACTAGCCTGTTTCACTGTTTATATATATATATATATATATCATTTTTTCTATGGATTGAGTTCCGGTGAGAAGGGAAGTTATGGTGAGAAGCGTAAGAAGAAATCTCCACCCTTGGATCAATCCTAGTTAAATGTCTACACCAATGAGGTGCCCCGAGATGCACCGGATCAATTCCCTTCTAAAGCGCAATTCATGGGTGGCCATGAGATTAAAAGCGATCAAGGGTTCAGATCTCTTTTTATGCTTCTCACCATAACTTTCTTTCTCACATGATCCTTCGCCTTTTTCTATATGTCATTCTTTTTCTATGCCCCCATCTCACTCCTGTGGATATTTCGTAGTGCTATTGGGGGTGAGTGTGGGGTGCTGGAGTTGTTTATTTGAGTTGTGAAGTTATTGCATCCATGTATTAAATATTAATGGCTCCCATTGTATTGCAGCCTGAGTGGATGGCACCAGAAGTATTGAGGAATGAACCATCTAATGAGAAGTAAGTGGACTCTTATTTGAAATGTACACATAAGTACACGTTGAATGCATCTGTCGATGGAATAACAAGAGCATCTATGAATGCTCAAAGTTTCATATCTGAAGCGAGTTTTAATCCAGCTAAGAGAACAGATGGGCTGATTATGCAGGTGCGATGTATATAGCTTTGGTGTGATTTTATGGGAATTAGCAACTTTGCGTATACCCTGGACAGAGATGAATTCAATGCAGGTTGTTGGTGCTGTTGGTTTTCAATACAGACACCTTGACATTCCAGAAACTGTTGATCCTGCGGTTTCAAGAATCATAACTGATTGTTGGCATCCGTAAGTCGCTGCTCTTATGATTAAATTATTTTTACTTGTTATTTTATTATTAACTCATTGGAGAGCACTTGCATTGCATGTAAGTTTTGTCACTGCATTAGTTAAGGACATCATTATTGATAGAATTATGATATAAAGAGTAGTCAAAATGTTGCTTCTTTTAGAAGTATGAAGTCCACTTTGTATTTTTTGAGTTAGATAAGTTGAATAAATCATGATAATAAAGCAGTTTAAGCATTATGTGCCAGGTAGAACCATAGGTCCTAATACCAAAATAGAAGGAAGGATGCTGTAATTCAGTTGATCATGATGGTAATAATCGAGAGATTTGGATTTTGTGGAGGGATCGGGAATTGGAAGGATTTGGAATCTTTGGTTTGTAGGATTTGGAATGGAATTGAATTCCCTTCTTTATACATAGTTTATAAAAACAAATTATAAAATAGTTTAATTGCCTTCTATTAACTTATTATTACAAAATGAATGTTTTTAACATATTATAAAACATTATTACAATCAAATCCTATAAAGTATGGGATTGGATTTCCAAGTCCAATGCTTGTGGGATTTCATTGAAATCCTAGCATCTCAATTCCGGACTTCCTTTTAGGAATCCAATTCCAAATCCCCATCAAATCCTGCAAACCAACCAAGCTCTAACTGTGGTATGATTTACACATGTCAACAAACGGGAAAGCATGTATGAAACTTAATTAGTCAATTATACTTGTACAAGTGCATTGTAGCAAGAAGTAGCTTTTTGCTCTAGCATTGTTTTAGGTAGGTTGACATGTGTTTATTTTCTGTGCAGCGAGCCACAGTCCCGACCATCATTCAGAGAGATCATTGCCCGACTCAAAACTCTTGGGCGTCTTTCAGTGGAACGGGTAGAAACTTGTATAAACCAACAATAGAAAAAGGGATATGGAGAGGGTGTTGTATGTATCTATAGGCAGGGAGGAGATAAAGCTTGTTTCAAAAGGTCACAAAAGCGTGGTGGATTGGGAAGTGTTGGTCGACGCCCAAAGTCGGGGGAAGAAGCACAGCCAAACCAGATGGATGCAGTTTGTGACTACCAACTATGTTCGTTGATATAATAATATTATTGTCTATAAATTGTTAACAAAGAAAGAAAAAGAAAAGTAGGGTTTTTGGTGGGGAGGTCATAAAAGGGAGCATTTGCATTGCAGCTTCCAAATTGTAAAACACTTTGTGGTCTGTCTCTACTTTTATTCATTTTCTACAACTTGCAAACACATCCACAGATATCAAATGTAATTTGATTGCTGAAAAAGGTATTTGTGATTCTTGTGTTTGATTTTAATTTTAAAATTACAGTAAACTTGTTGAGTACTGTTTTGCCTGACTAACGTTTGAAATCTTCTTCTAGAAACTTAACAATAACAGTGGATTATATTGTGGTATGCCCAAATTTTGGACTAATATACCGATAATTCTATAACCTTTCAATTTTAGAACACTCAAGTTATATGGGGTTAATACTGTCACCAACCGTATGAAGGAATAAAGAAAAATTATAGGGATCAAAAGGATTTACTCTAAAATTAATTTTTAAAATTTATTCATTTAAAATATTTTATTTATGGTTATATTGTTGTAGCTTATTCATAATTATATGATAATTTAATTTAATAATATCTTATAATGTTTAATTTTTAAAATATAATTATTTTTTTTATTGAGGAAATTTTTTTAATACATGACTATCTAAATCTTACATTAATCATACCAAATATATTTTTATCAAAGAAAATTTTTAATTAGAAAATTGTGGTTTTATTTTAATTAGTTTTCATTAAATGAATAGATTACTACGATTTATTACTAAAAATTCCACTTTAACAAGTTGTACGCTTACTTTGTAATCATCATATCTTGTTCCCGATTTACCCTTGGGTTCCTCTATACTCATCTTGCTTCGACTCTATTTCTATCGCCATCACCGCATCCCTCCCCTCCATATGCGATCTAAGGTATGAACGTTGCAATTTTGTTTGTCTGTCTGGGTTGCTTTATTTGATGAGCAATGATTTTGTATTGTTTGAGTTTTGCTTTTGATTTATATGCTGTGAATACAAGTTATATGTTTCGGTTCTACAAATTTCACTGCTCTCTTTGTTTTTTTCTTTCTATATAACCTGGGATTTTGATTTTGTTGATGTTTTTGCTTACACGGTTGTCTTTGTGTTTTGCCTACTATGTTCTTGTTGGTGAAAGATGTAAGCCTATTATCACTGCTTTTTAGAGTTATTTCCTTATGCATGTCAAGTGTTTGTAAAAATGCCTGACTTGTCTATTTTCCTTCGTCGATCTTGATAGATTTGAGCTTTAACAAAACAAACATCAAAGTAAATAACCAAATGAGCTTCGAAAATTATGAGTGAACTAAAATCCTAACCCATTATCGATATACATAGAAACAAAAGCAAATCTAAAAAATAATTAAAAGAGGATTATAATAAATTATAAATGTATATTTAACTTGTTTAGGTTCACGAATAAATTTAAGTGTCAAACTTGTTAGCATTGGAATTGGATCACCTCTAATTCAAGAAGATCATGACTTGCATCAATGGCAACAGGTTGTTGTAAGCCCAACTGAAACAACCAAGTTAAACAGCAAATCTAAAATTAAGTTAAGTGGCACCAAATTATACAACCAAATTAAAGCAAATGTAACATTTTTTACAATATACAACAATACCAAAGGCTTTAATATGGTCAGATATCATGTATTACCAACAAATCAATCAATTCATCATCATCATCATCAATAAGCTCTTATAAATGGGTTCAGCTAAAAAATGAAACCTAATAGAAATTATGAAGAGGTTTCCCCAGGGTAACTTTTAAGAACAGTTGACTTTTATTAATATGAATTGGAATATATTGTTTTTCATATGAATTAATAACGTTACTAAATTACCAGGATAGAACTAAGACCTAGTAAATGGGATCATAGAGGACTCATGTATAATACAAACTACAACACGACATAGAGGGGTCAAAAGAAACTGCTGACCACAACAACAACAACAAAATCTGGAAAATAGAATTCTGGTTACAGGATCTCATAAAGCGTTTAAGATCAAATGTATCATCTTTCTTCTTTGGTGATTCTCGAAAAATCAAGTGAGGCCATTGATGGAGAAAGTCCAGATAGGTCTCTACCTTCATTTACAACGATACTCATCCTTTGACCTGAGTTTTGGCTTCCAACTTTTGTTTGCCTTCTGCACACCCTCACCCGTCACCATCTACAAATGCCCTTCAGAGCATACAAACACATAGTAAATATTTGAAAACATCAGGTGTAAGATACTCTGGACTGTTCTCAATAGTTAAGTTTTATAACCATATTCTCATATATGATTAATTAAATAAACACTTGGATGTTTTAAATTTAGAAATACGCAATCTTCTAATAATTGGGGGAAGGCAATAGGGATTAGGGACCGTATAATGGAGTCCCTTTGACCCATGAAAAGATTTAAGGAAGTGTTTAATTATTGGATGGTGTTACAGTGTAATTAGTTGGCATGGATAGTAGGATTCTTGTTTTTGTGAAGCCGGATCAAGATTCTGTGTTCGGATTGTGAACCAGAAAATTAACTAAAAAACTTAGAATGAAGTTTATAGTATTTAATGTCATGTGAAACTAGGTAGAAATGACCAGCCTAAGGATCGATTATCTACTAAAACAGAACTGCCCCCTTAGCAGAGAACAAATCCCCACTCGCAGATGTGTTTTTACCAGAAAAAATTGCCGAGATTATGTAATTTGATGTTTCTTTCTGCCTTAAAAGTTAAAACTCAAATTGTGTCTCTCTGATTAGTCTGATATTGTTGCCATCATAGAGAGTACTTGATTATAACAGAAAATTTGATTTGTTTTATTTTTGTTGGATCAGGTCATGGTTCAGTATCTAGTGAAAGTCTAGCAATGTATTTTATACTGTTTGCAAAAGAACACTTGTTATTGCATGCAAGGCTTGTCGTTTGTGATGTTTATTATTTCATGTACTTATTGAACAACATATGTTTTGTAATTATTAAACATTCATGACATATTGCTTAATCCTTAGGTATGGAAAATTTTGTTGGATCTTTATAACATAAGAAACCTAGCATTAACCGGAAAAATGTGGCGAAAATGTTTATCAAATCATGTTTACATGATATAGGTGTAAATAAACAAGAAGTTGGAAGACACTTTCTTAGAAGAATGTAGTGGAAACACTACAAGAGATGCATAATTTAATTTATGAACAAAGACAAATGAAAAGTTCAATATATTTTCTTGGCTGAATATATTTTAAATTATGTTGTAATTTGTCGTCATCGAACACTTACTCGTACTGAACATTTGCTAAACGGTCATATGCAATTCAATACTTCAACATATGGAAGGTTATAATGGTAAATTTTTGTCATTCAACATTAAATCCAGAACATTTGGTTACCTTGTTTTTCCAATCAACGCTTAGACATAGCTGCTTACTTCAGATAAACCTGTTATTCTAGATAGTGTTTACCAACGATTATGGGTAAACCACCCGTAAGCTTGCTTAGTTGTAAGTTTTTTATAGAACTTTTTGTAAGGCTCTTGAATCATTGAAATGGGTTTTCACAACAGTGTGTGTTCTTCATCTGCAAACCACCTTCTTTGTTGTTTGTTTTTTGACTTCCATCTCTTCTAGTCTCCACAGCTTAACAGGTATAGACATATAGTGGTATAAACCCTATTTCTTGAATGGCAAATCTCTTGGCAAACTTGTCAGAAATTTGTGTGATTGTCTTATGACTGCTTAATGATCTTCAGGGAAAAGCTACATCTCAGAATTGGAAGAATTGTTTCAGTTTCTAAATAAGCCAGCCAATAATCATCTGAGAACCAACGCAACCCCTTTTCATCTCCAGAATTCGGTTGTTGTATAGAGAATGGCTGACAAACCCAGCAGAGGTTTGGTGTTATACGGTGACGGATTGACTCGATTCGTCAACCCTTCTCATACTCATCTCCATTCATTAGCAGCTCAATCTGTATGTGGCTTCTTATCACTCCCTCACTTTCCTCCTACAGGTATCTCTAACCTAATTCCTTGCATAATTTTAGTATTATGTCCATAACTAATAGATTTGGGTATCACGCCAACATTGTTAGTTGAAGTTATTTCTGACAAAGAACTTTAATCGATTTTATTGATAAATATAAAATATCGAGGACTATTTAACCTTCGATTGAAATTGCTATAGGAGATAAAGGGGAGTGTAAGAGAAATGGGTTTTTGGATCATGTGTTAAAAAATGGAAGCTTTTGGAATATATTTTAGCATGTTGCTGGCAATTCATCATCTATTATTTGGTACTTAGCATATTTCCTGATGTACTTGGGCATCATTTTGCAGAAAATGTTGATGGTACAACAGTCGGAGAATTTCTGAATTTAGTTGATGCCTATGAAGATTATACCACTTTGGTCAGATTTTCTTTTCTCAAAATATGGTTTTAAGGGCCGTTTCCTAAACGCTTACCCGGTAAGAGCGATGACAAGGACCGAGAGTCTTACCCGGTAAGTGAGAGTGACAACTCTTACCCGGTAAGTGTTGGATAAACGGCCTCGTAGTAAGTAGTAGAAAATATGGAAGGTTGACTTTAACTCTTGCCATCTTTCCTTGTTCTGTTTATACATTTCCAGAGTGGAGAGTCTCAAGATAAGTGCATAACACCAACTATATCAGAGAGGTAAGTAAGATTATAATAACACTTCTATATGAAGTGGCTAATGAATCGATTTTAGAATTGAAAAGCTTTGGTTACTTAAGATAGATGATGGTTTTGATCAATTTAGGTTTATGGGTGTTAGATCAGCTTTAATTACAGAAAACATAAGGTTGAGAGCCTGTGGTGGCAAACTTGGCCTTTCGGTGTTGCAGTCAAATAAGTTAATCAACAACAGTTCTTCACTTGTTGATTCACCCGTCAATCTTGTTGCCATGGAGTTGCTGAAGCTGCTCGGAATTCAAGGAGAGAAAGTGTTAGATACAAGTCAATTTGACTTGGTTTTTGTACACGTTGGAGCTTGTGAAGAAGGTCAAGTTGGTAAATATACGGAGTATATTAACTCTTTGGTTGGTGAGATAATATCCAAAGCGAAACCTGAATCCGAGATAGGTTCTCGGCTTCACTTGTCTGTTGTGTTGAGTTTTGGGGATACTTCAAAAGATGATGAGTCTATCTTTAGCTTGTCAAACAAAAATAGAAACATGGACTCGAATTTCGCTTCATTGTTCCCGAGTCAAAGCTACAGAATGAAAGGTAGCAATCCAAGGAGTAATGTAAGGTAAAGAGGCAAATGCTATAGAAATGTTTTACTCAGTTTGTCGATGAGTGTACTAACTGAAGTGTTATTTATCAGAGACTATTGCCCAATGATGATTGCTCAATGGCAAGATGCTGTTACTCGGAAGGATACGGTGGAAACCTTCTCTTTTCAAGATTTCTTGAAGGTACAAAATTCAAGTCAAATATGCTACTTACAAATTGCATGCACACACACGCACACACACACACATATATATATAGAGAGAGAGAGGGGAGATATTTTACAAGCCCACTAATTAGTACAAACCATAGAAACCAATTAATTGAGATATTTATAGAAATAGTGACAGTTAAATTATTATGATTTGCATAGTTATGGTAGATTATCAGAGTTCAGTTATCATGATCAACGTTTTATATTAGGAAACAATCGAGATAGTCATTGAATCAGCTATTCATTAGACTAGATGCACGGTTAAAATTGGTTCGTATTGTTTGTACTAATGGTTGGGTTTGTAGACGAAACCACCTTATATATAGATGCATATATATATAGAGAGAGAGACAAAGAAAGAGAGATTCATGGGAAAACCCCAAAAAATGAAAAACCAAGGAACACTGAAATAACCGTTCATTTGTATGGTATGTACATGTACATCCAAGTAATTGAAAATGTTTCCTGGTTTCTATGCACATGTGCATGCTGGAAAAATTACTTACAATTACAAATTACTAATGCACATATGAATATTGTACTGATGAATTATTACTAGGGCGTTATTTAGTTTTCATTTTTTTACGGTTCTGTCATGAACCTGACCCTATATATATACATACATAACTAGTATATATATATAGAGAGAGAGGTGAGTTATTATGCAACCCTTTATATTTGTACAACCAATACAACTCAATCTCAACCGTCCATTTAATTTGATGAATATGTGATTTCATAAAAGTTTAGATTGTTTCCTAATATAAAGTATTGATCATGATTAATAAACCTTAGTCACATCTTTCATAAATATTCAAATCATAATAAATGAACTCTCATCATTTTCATAAATATTTCAATTGATTGGGTTGCATTGGTTGTTTTGAAACATTAAGTTATGATTGATTTTGATGCAGAATGGTGGAAACCTGACAATCCCAGCTGATAGATTTGTTCATGAAGTTGCATTCAAACTTTGGAAGGCCCCAAAGTATGGAGCTTGAGGTACATTTTTGTTGTTTGTAACCACCAAATAAGCCATGCCTGCTTTCTTTGGCTTTGGGCTTTGAATATGCTTTTTTCTGAATAAATTCCGACTCCGTACACCATTACCAATGATGGCATCTCAGGTTATGTACTTGTTTACATTCCCCCCCTATGATATGATTCACATGATCCAAAACTAAATAAGCCCCCCAACTTGAAAAAAAGAACTTTAAAAATCCATCGGAACGATAAAATTTGGGTTGAAATATATCACACGACTTTATGACTCTTTGATCCACCTTAAAGATGCATCTGCTTGACGATTTCCACCGCTACCACCGTCAGTAATAAACTGAAACCAAATATAAAAAACAATGGCTGACCGGGGTGGGTGATGAAATATGAATCACAAATCAAACTTTTTTATATAACCGAAAAACATATATAACATCAATTAAGCACATCATCAAATTTATTAATGGATAAATTTTGGTCTTTGTAAATATTTTTTAATTTGAGAACAAAAGGGGATGATTTGAATATGTACAAGTCCGCTCGATAATTGAAACGCATTAATATTATTCCAATAAAAACCCCTATATCTTGTTTATATTTTTTGTATTACCTTTTGTCATAGATTATGTCAATTTTCTTCTCTAAAAAACAAAATGACAATCATGGTTTGTTAACATGTCTCCATTTTGGTCCATTTTTTAATTTTTATGTAGTCTAAAATTTTATTTCACTTATGATATATATATAAGAGGTGATATGCTGAAATCTGAATCAATATAACTGTTTGTTTTTGTAAACTGATAAACGTCTGAATTTGTTTAAATTGTCTATTTTACTATTAAAAATTGTAGTGTTGAATTTATAAATAAATTTATATATTTTCACATATTTGTTTATCATCATTACGAAATTTATATTTAAACGAAAATATGTTATTAATGGTGTTTTACATATTTACATCCTATTAATAAAAAAATTAACTGAGATAGGTGAGGATTAATTTGGTAAGGATCGATTGAGAGAAATGATCAATTAAAACACCGTTCTTGAGGATTTGAAGAACAATAATAGACAAATAAGATGTTTTACCTCTTATCAGATAAGAGAAAAATAAGATATAAGTGCTAAAATTGAAAAAAGAAAAAAAAAACAATCTAAATAACATTATCTCTTAACGAATCAGACATAAGAAAATGATAAGAGTTTTTTTATAAAAAATAAACAAAATCTAAAATATCCCGTTTTTATAAACAACCGTGGACATCTTGTTAAAATGAAACGGCTAGCATTAGGGACCAAATTTACTGTCGGGCCCAGACTATAGTGCCCGGATGTGCCGTGTGCTTAAGGGATTGTACCTTGGTTTTTCTCCTAACCACCTGCCTCTCAGCCGTTGCCGGTGGCAGTCGCACTCCTGCAGGCCGACATCCACCGTTTCTCACAACCCCTATCGCTATCCTGACCATGTCCACTTCACCTTCAACCGCCGGAGCCTCTGCTCCTTCTTCGTCATCAAATTGCGCAAAAACCACCACCAAAGACGCCGATGCACTTCGACAAAATCGAATTTTATCCAGCAAGCTCTATTTTGATGTACCTCTCTATAAGGTTTGTAATCGAGTGATTGTGTTCCCTTGTTTATTTCATATTATACTTCAAGTTTAGTCTTCTTCTCTAAATTTCATCAAATGAACTTCCAAAACTGTTATTCGTTAGATAATTCTGACTTTTCGTTTCTCTATTAATCAGGCGCCAGTAATCTATTCGACTTCTTACGATATTGCTTTTCTTGGAATTGAAAAACTGTAAGTGTATATACTACTATGCACCAATTGATAGAGATGGTACTTTCCTCTTTCAGGAAAACTAAAAAACGAAATCAACTATTTCATCAATGTCGATATCCATGGATGCTAATGGTTTTGAGATAGAATTTCAATTGGATTCTTTAAAATATGGTATTATAATATTTGTATTTGAAAATATATGATACCGACTCGATCCCACAAAGAAACACCACAACCAACCTACATTCAAATTAATATATTGTAATTTTAAACTTGCTTAAATATCTTTAATGACATTGCAAACTTTTCTACATTCATTTTGAAGTAAATCTTGTGGACTAGAATGAACCATGACTACTTCTTTATATAGACTAGAATGGGAAATAAGTATTTCAGCTTTAATAAGTTCCCAAAAATAATATGACGAAATTCTTGAGACACATCCGGAGAAAAGAAAAATTCTAAGGATCTTGTGGGGTGGGGAAGAACTTCAGGAATGAAACTGTAGTAGAGGTACTTCCACATCTTGGTATGTGTAAATGAGCAAACATTTGCTTGTTTATTGTGGTCACAGAATGACCAGTGTTTTTCCCAAATTTATATTCATGTACCATCTAATGAATGCAGGCATCCATTTGATTCTTCTAAATGGGGTCGCATCTGCCAGTTCCTCATTGCAAATGGCGTTTTGGACAAAACTCGTATAGTTGAGCCTCTAGAAGCGACCAAGGATGATCTTCTAGTGGTATTAGTCGCATCCCTTGGAATATTGAAGATAATCTTTTTGCCCTTTTTCCTTCTTATTTAATCATAGGGGATAATAATTCAATATGCAAATTGTTTCAAATGAATACTATAGTCTCTCGCTGCGTGTCCGAGTTTTACTTGTTATTGTGTTAGCCATGAGCATGAAAGTTCATGCAAATTATTAACTTTAATATGATTATTGTGCGTGGCAGGTGCATTCAGAAGCATATTTGCGTAGTCTCAAAAGCAGTCTAAATGTATCCATAATCACAGAGGTGGGGTTGATACTATCACTGATGGCCATCTTTCTACAATATTCTCATATTTCACAAACCATTGAGCCTTAGGGGCTGTTTGGTTTGTTCCTATAAAGCTGTCTATGTAGATTCATATGAATGTATGGGAAGGTCTTTGTTTGAGAGGGTTTTTCCATAGATGGAAGGAGCAACTTTTGTAATAATGTGGGAATTGGACCTAGTGCGTGTTTTTATGGAAGAATATGATATTTATTCTTCATTTTCATGAATTTAGGTCCCTCCTGTTGCAGTATTCCCTAATTGCCTTGTTCAGAAGAAGGTCCTTTACCCATTTCGTAAACAGGTGATGATGTTGGATTTCACGATTTTCTTCTTTTAACTTTATTTCATATTTTCCATTTTACATATTGATGCTAGCAGTGTAGGGTATCACTGACAGCACTTTGATTTAGGTGGGAGGAACTATTCTAGCAGCTAAACTTGCTAAAGAACGAGGTTGTGCTATCAATGTTGGCGGTGGCTTCCACCATTGTAGTGCAGATCGGGGAGGAGGATTTTGTGCTTATGCTGACATATCGCTTTGCATTCACTATGCTTTTATCCGTCTAAACATTTCTAGGTATTCACAAAATCTTGATAAATGGATGAAACCTTGGTTCACCTCTATTAACTCACTTGGCATATTGCTAATTCTCTTTCATATTCAAACTACATTCAGGGTGATGATAATTGATCTCGATGCCCATCAAGGAAACGGTCATGAAAAGGATTTTTCAGATGATAGTATGCTTCCTATCCATCCTTGCCATAATACAATACATGGTCAACTCAGTCAACTGATTGTATCCGGTTATTTGTAGGAAGAGTCTATATTCTCGATATGTATAATCCATATATCTATCCACTTGTGAGTTGCCTTGTTCTAAATCATATATAACTTGAGCTTTGAACAAAAGAAATTCTTTTAAATCATTATGTTTATCTTATTTAGGATTATGAGGCCAGGAGATATATTGATCAGAGAGTTGAAGTTCCAGTGAGCCTCTTCATCCATTAAATGCTCAATATATTGTGTCGGTGAGAGTGAGATTCGTAACTTTACATATTCGTATGTTGTCAACAGAGTGGAACCACTACGGAGGAGTACTTGGTGAAGCTGGATGAAGCCCTTCAGGTAGGTGTTTTCTTGGGTGCTTAGACCTTTTGTCAGATTTTTTTTTTAAATCCATGACTTTATTACAAGTTTGAGAATGCCATTTCCATACACAAGAATGCCTAGGAACCTGTCAGAAAGTCATTTAGCGAAATAACCCGTGTTTTCTTGAAGCATAGAATGACAGGACTCTAAACTGTTGGGAGTGTTCCCTTTTGACAGGTTTGAGAATGTCATTTCTTTACACAAAAATGCCTAGAAACTTTTCTGCAGGTCATTTAGTTAAATAACCATGTTTTTTTGAAGCATAGAATGATCCGACTCCAAAATGTTGGAGTGTTCCCTAGATGTTTCCTTAAACTGTATCCTTGATTCTAGGAATGAAATGTTAGGTTGCAGAGCATGCATTTGATCCTGAACTGGTGATCTACAATGCTGGAACTGATATTTTAGATGGAGATCCGTTAGGAAGATTGAGGGTAATGCTAAGTTTTTCTATTTGACCACTAGAAATGGGAAAAAGTTACTGATTGTTGGTATGTTGGTTTGACAGATAAGTCCTGATGGGGTAACCATTAGAGATGAGAAGGTATTCAGGTTTGTTCGTGATAAAAATATCCCACTCGTAATGCTGACATCAGGTTCAACGACTTTCTTTCGTAACATATTGTTTTTACGAAACGGATAAGGAAATGAAAGACATCGTGATTTATGTGTCTCAGGTGGTTATATGAAATCAAGTGCGAGAGTGATTGCTGACTCGATTATAAACCTATCAACGAAATCCTTGATTTCCATGGGTGGCACTCCACCTAAGAATTAGGATTTCTTATCCTATGTGTATCTACGACAAATTTTCTTTTTTAAAGTATGTATAATACGACAAATACTAACACATCCTCCTCCTGATGTATGGTGAGGTTTGAACCCTTAGGGGCTAAGATCTATGAGTAACCCGGTTAAAGTGATACACATACATATTCGGGTTTTTGTTTTGGTTGGATTCAAGTTTTAAACTTCCAATTCAAGAATTGAACAGAAGTATTCTTTTAGTTATAGTCGTGGAGCAGCCGAAAGTAGCAGCGAGTAATGTTAATAGATTAATAACTTTACAATATGCCCTCGGGCGTGTAGCTCAGCTAGCAAAGGGGCGGGGTAGAGACTTTGCTCAAACACACAACAGGTTCAAGTTTGAATCCGGCAGGAGACGGGCTTGAACCCTTCCGCTAGCCTCTGGCGTTGAGTCAGTCCTGAAATGTCTCTTCACATGTATTTCCTAGGGGCGGCATCTGTGTGGGGCCAGACGGGGTTCCTGGTGATCAACCTTTTGCTCAAATAACTTTACAATATAATAAATCATTATTTATTATTATATAATATACACTTAAGATTCAAGTTCAGAAGTTTTCCCATAAAACCAAAAGATACAGAAGTTGAAAATTGCGAGTTCTTCAAGTGTGATATTGCGAGTTTCTAGCGGTTTCTTCATCGCGACTTCTTCTGTTCATCTCTAAGTACATTTCCTCAATCATCGGCTTCCACAGACGAACTCTCGCATTTATAAACCAGTTCGATACCTGTTCATAAACATTATCAAACTAGATCCTTCAACTGCTTTCAACTCTACTTTTTGTATTTCAAATGTACTCTTTTCGAGCTTTCAAAAACCGTCCAATATATATATATATATATATATATATAGAGGTTATAAGGACCGTATCTAGCCAATGTTGGACTCCAACAGTAATCGGTCAAAGACTCAATCGGGTAGTCCAACGCCACTCGACTTGTCCCTGGGCCGGCCTCAGTTTCGGTTTCTAATACGAATATTTGATATAGACTGAACAATAAATGTACCTGGCTCCTTGTCAATCCACTTTTTACAGCCAACAATTGTTTCTCTGCATCCTTAGGGTACCTGCAAGTGAATTCACGACTCGGATTCAATCATAAATCTTAGATGATACCGATTAACATAGATCCAACGGGTAAATAGCTTACGGGTGAAGAAAGTTTTGAAACATCCATGCACGTAACACAGAGACCGATTTTTCTGGCAATCCTCTTTGGGGCCTCCATAGCTGATGATCTTTTCTTCTTAGCTGCTGAAGAGCCCATTGCTTCGGAACAAAAGACGACAGCTCCTCTTCTCCTGGATCCATCGTGTTATAATCGGCTCCCATCGAAAGAATATGATTACTTATCCTCTCCCTTAAACTCTTGTAAAAGAAAGTAATCGTATGAAGGGAAAAACAGGCATGAATTTGAGGATTCAATTCTGTTACAGCATGGAACGCCGATATCACTGTATGAATCTCGTCTAAGCACTGGTTATAGCGTTCATCGACCTGAATCACCAAGAGTTGAAAACTATTAAGAGTCTTTTTAGTGAACAAATATGGGTTTTTATTGGAATCAGCACATACCATTTCTAGTAAGGCCAGCAAATGTTTCTTTTTCATTTCGACTCCTCGTGATTTTAGAATGGGATTGATGTGATCCTCGAATGTGTTATTTCCATCAGAGAAGTCATCAGAACCGATCTGCTTATAGCCCATCTGGTCGAAGTTTCCAAGGGAATAGCTTGCGATTTCCGAAAGGATTTCTTGCATTATATGAAGATAGGTATTCGATCCAGATGAACATTGCAAAACCGGGATCGGTCTATTCGAGTTAGAATTGAACCCCAAAGAGAAACTCTTACTGTTGCAAGAACTAGCTTGTTCTGTGCTCCCCAACTGTCTTCCATGTAACGAAAGATTGCTCATCCCAGAACATGTAGCAAGACTCAATGATAACTCGTTACCATCTGAGCTCACACTTGCGTTGTTTTCGGACGATATCCACCCGTTTGGATGCGTATCGAATCCCATTCGTTCCGTTGGAGGCATAAAGAACTTGTTGAAATCCCATTTCCTACTCATATCACCCATAGTCCCATCGTATCCGAAATTCTCAGCGGCATTAAACAGCGACGGCAGTGTATCGGGGAAATGATTATTTGGAACAACACTTTTAGGAACTTCAAGAGATTGACCAAAAAGAGGGAAGTTTAAGCTTTCTTGTTGACCATGTCTTGAAGCAAGAAGGGCTGCAAGAGCTGTAGCAGAAATGGGAACATCCATATGGCCAATAGAAGGGAAATTACTTCCTAAATGTTCAGTCGGGTTCGTAATCCCTGAACCGTTTACGGGTTCACCTGGGATCATCGAAAGCATCGGAAATCCAGGCATGATATGGTGGTTTTGATCAAGAAAAGCTTTCTGATTAAAAGAAACCATGGCTGCAGGTGGATAGTTTTCATCTGGAATGATGAAATTTTCTGCAGCCATACCCATTGGCATATTGAATCCACTGTTCTCCATGATCAGAATGGAATGGTAGCAACTCAAAGTACAAGAATTTTACCTACAAGAAGACCATGATCAGCAGAATTAAGTTCAAGATCTTACTCAGAAACCCAATTGCCCTCACCAATTCTTGTACACAATTTGTTGTTGAAAGTGATTGTGTGTGATATTAGATTATAACCAACCACTTAGACTTAATAATGCATTTTGAAAAGTAGTCGGTCTATCGATATCCCATGGAGCATAGCACCGAAGAATTCCTGTTTAAAAACAGTAGCCAACAAAGGAAGAAACAAAAATGGTGCACAAAAAAGATAAACAGCAATACACATTCTTGGTTGGAATGTAAGATTTTTTACTGGCAGGAAGTGACTTCTCAAAGCTCAACTCTCACCATCACATCCCTGTGGAAACAGTTAACATCTCGGCATGTCATATTTACTATCATAAAGTGTCAGATTTCTTCATCTTAATATCAAGATTTTGTTACCCATAGTCAAAACTCAAAAATGACAACAAATCATAGCAACATTATAATCATAATGATCCAACATTTCAATCTTGATGGTACCATCGTGGTTAATTTCCCATAATCCTACACCTAAATATCAAGAATCTAACACTAGAAATACAATAATTCATTGAATAGCTTTGCAGCCATAAACTTTGGGCACAAAAAGATAGCAAAAGCAAGAGTGGGGATAACAAATAATCCTTTTTTCTATTATAGGACCCATTTGGGATTTCATATATTGACATGGGTTGTATGTATGCATTTGAGAATTGCAGGTTGGACTAAAAGTCAAAATTAGGAAGACAGAAACATAATTGAAGTAAAACCAAGCTTGCAAACATTTAAAAAGAGGAGATGAAAGAGAAGATACAGTAGCCTACCTCCAAACCAGAAGAATAAAAGTCAAATGGAGATGGGGATGTGAATGGGATCTCCAGGGTGTTGACACTTGACCAGTGGTGAGTGCTAAATAGCAACTACTACAAGTAGCTTCTCTCAGAGAACCCAAATCAAGCAGTTGGTATGCAAAGCAAAGAAAAAAAAACTCACTTGAATTACCCTTTGAAACCCAAAGGGAGTACTATGCGAAAAGGGATGAAAATAGTGAGAAAATAAAGAGGAAGAGACATGTGGCCTACGGTGGCTGTTGCTTACTTAGGATCTTAGCTTTTGCGCCAATAAAAACCAACAACAAAAAGGAAGAAATAAATAATGGTAAAAGTGGATATATTATGGGGGGTTGCATGGACAAGATTATATTTATTTCAATGATTTTACAGAACCCAAGAAACAGAAAGTTGAGTAAAGAATCATGATGATCACTATTCCCTCTCTCTCTCTCTCTCTCTCTCCCTCTCTCTCAGTTGAAGCAAACACGCAAACAGAAGAATACCCACAGGTTTTTCAAAAGGAAAGAAGACAAATTGGTCATGAAAATGAAGGTCAGTTGTGAGGAGTAGCTCCATTAAAAGCAAATAAAGGCTGTTTCTTAAAAGCCAAAAGAATAGGGGGTGTTGGTTTTTTTGCAGAGAGTGGTAGAATTATATGATTGATATATATATATATATATATATATATATGAAAAACAACAATAATGGAACTGTAAATGGACCCATGAAATTTTAAGACCAACGAGAGAAGCTAGAAATCAGAGCACATACACAGTTACTTATACATATATATATATATATATATGTATGTATGTATGTATTTGCAGAGTAGAAAGATGTAAGTAAGTAAAAGAAAAACTATGGCTTTAATTTGAAAAATACATGAATAAGTAGAGAAGAGAGCAGAGAGAAAACATTACCTCCCTTAAAAAGTGCAGTGCCACTCATTTCTCTTGCAGGCTTTAACCTGAAACAAAAGGGACCCATTTCTCTCTCTAATCCTGCAATCATGACACAAAAAATCTGGATTCCATTCTGTTGAAACAAACCCCATGGGAAAGCAGAATGGATTGGAGGTAGTGGTAGGAGTAGGATCATTGATGAGGATGATCAAAACAAAACCCAAGAAACAGGAAAAGGGTGTTGCTTTTTTAACCATTTTTGGGGGAATGTGATTGAGTAAAGAGGGTAAGAAAGTTTGTTGCTTTTTGATTGTGTGAAGGGGAGGTAACAAGTAAACAAGTAAAAAGGTTTGATTTTGAAGGAAGGCAAGGAAGTAAGTAAGATGGATGACCATACCTTTACAAATGGCTACTGTTTGGCTGCAGGAGTAGGGTTTGTTTCTAGTACTCAGTACTGGTTTTTATGATGATGTAAGCTATAATGGCGGGTTTTGAAGATGAAAATCTTGCAGGAAGATCTATCCATCTCTCTCTCTCTCGTTTTTATTGCTTCCCACTTCCCCCACCACCCCCGTACGCTTTTTCTACTCCTGCCCAATCTTTTATTACTCCTTGTATTGTATTGTATTTTACTTAAAACTATACTCCATTCAATACCACCTTATTTATAAACTATTCACATCTTCGAAGATGTATGTAATCCTAATCTCTATCTTTTTTAAGGGTAGAAAACGATTGTTTCTGTATAGATCCTTGACTTATACTAAAATGGGAGATAAACGGAAAGAACCCATATTAAGCAAAACTAACACATATTAAACCACAAGAAAATAAAATCAGAATCAGACACAAAGAGAACATATATAAAGTACGAAAAGTTACAAGCATCCTTTATAGAAAGGCATGTCTCTTATACCCTACCTAAGTGATGACTTCTTATGCACAATAGTAACATGTCTCTACCTTATATTTACTAACCTAGTCATGTGTCTCCAAAAGCTCCTGCTCATGTCCCTCGAAATACCAAAGACTCTCACGTCTAACCTCAATTGTTCGTTCATGTTATGTCCTCCTCGGCTCCTCTATCGTAACACTTGCTACCGTCAACACCACTCACCTCTTGCGTACGTGGCATATCAATGTAGTCTTTTACTTTATTTCTTATACACGCAACTCCAAGCTCCGTCCAACATACTTTGAAATTTATGTTCATTGACATATAGGCAAACTTGATTTTATTTAAGTTTTATAGAATGAAATTCAATTTTTATATGAAAAGTTTCTGAAAGCTGATATTTAAAATAAAGGATTTCGCATGTAACTTGTCATTTACCTCAAATTTTAATCTTTATTGTAAACATGTTGTGGTTAAAATAACATTAAGTTAAAATGTATATAAAAGTTTTAATTTAATGCATTTTTTGCATGAAAATAAATTATAAAAATGTCTATAGAACTTTAAATTGAAAATAAATAGATAAATATCTATCACGTGTATCTGATTGTTGATATTTTAAAAAAACAATCTTCATTTCTCTTAACAAAATAAATAAACAAATGTCTGTCACGTACATTTGATTGTTGATATTTGAAAAACAATCCTTATCATTGTAAAAAACCGAGCTTCAAACTATATTGAAATGTGTCCATGTGTACTGTAAGTTTTGTAAACCTTTTATCACAGTCCAAGACCTTATCTTTATTGGAAGTTGTCATTCCTTTCTTCATTTCCGGATTGAAGTGTTCAGGGGACACTTAAGAACCCTTTTGTTTATCTTAGCACGGAATTTAACACGAATAAAATCAATTCAATGGACTTGCTTAATTAAGAGCATTTTTTGAAAATATCCGAGAAACAAAGAGTGAGTTCTTAGTATAAAACCATGAGATTGTGTAGGTGTTCGTTTTCCTTAAGTTGTATTTCGATTCTTATTTACCTGAGTATCACGAAATCAACTCGGGGATAATCGCAGGTTCTATATCAATTGTGGGAAAATTGTTACACTTTAAACTAGAGGACTGTAATTGTTCATATATAAATGTAAAAATAACTTCCCATGAAATGGAAATGATTGTTGGAATAATTAGTGTGCAGATAAATACATGTAATTACAAGGAGATTATAAGGTAACTGCTTATTATACAGATCAGAAAGCAACTCAGAACCACTATAGAACCAAAAACTCTTTAGGGTTAGAAGCTCATCAGAGTCGGAAGCACTTCAAAGTTAGAAACTTGTTATTAAGCTCCTCATAGTCATAAGCTTCTTACTACTAGCAGGGGAGCCGCCCCTTGGACCCCGGGAGGGTGCAAGCTCTTTGACCCTAAAGAGAATCAATGCTCATCCTGTAATCATAAAGAATATGAGTATTCGAAATAGAATTTGGAGTATATAAAAAGTTAAGAGTTTCAATTTTGAATAAAAATATTGACAACATGAATATGAAATAAATGAAGAGACGAAACAAAGTGAAATAACTTCAGATTAAACTGAAAAATAGTGAAATTAAAATCATTTTATATAAGCCTAAATGCAATTCACCATGGTTATATGTACTCTTATAAACTTAATTACATTTTAAATATGATATATACATCAATACATAAATTGCAAATATCTTACCTACCTAACTACTCAAATAAATTCCCATTTGACCCATCACATTTTTATGAATAAATTTTGTAATTAATGAAAATAATACTAATAAAATAAAATTATTTGCCTATATTTTCATTTCTGGTTAGATTGAAGTCATTCTTTACCATTTTTATTTTTATTTTCCAACCTAAACCAAACAACTCCTTAGACGTAGAATATGTTTTGCATCAATTATCAGATTAAAAAAAATCAAAAACAGTTATATAAATTTATAAAAAATAATAATTCAATTTATAAATTAAATGTGGAGACCACAATACACATGCACTTGTATGAGAAAAGAAAATGGAAATTGAAATTGAAATTGAAATTGAAATGAAAAATGAAAAGAGATCCAAGTACCACTCTGAGTCCTCTCAACTCAAACAATCATAGAATTTGAAATCTTATGGGATTAGTTAGATTTTTTCATAGTATTTGCCAAAATTTATATGTAATAATGGTTTAAAATATATTAAAAATATATATTTATTTTATAATAATCAATTAATAAAAATGTAATTTAATTATTTTTATAATTATTTATAAAAAAATTATAAATTTTTATAAAGGGAAAATTGCACCAAAATGGAACGAACTTTCACTTAATTCTTATTTTGAGAAACCAACTTTTAAAATCGTCATTTTGGGAAACTAACTTGTACCTGATTCCTATTTTGGGGAACCAACTTTCAAAATTATCATTTTAGGGAACCAACTTGCACCTGATTCCTATTTTGGGAAACCAACTTGCAAAATAATTATAGAAAAATAACTAAAAAAAAATTTTCCCAAAAATTAATGCAATAAAATTTATTTTTCATTTCAAATCTCGTTTTTTTAATTCCGATATCAAATTGAACATTTTAAAGAAAAATCTAAATTACCAGAATAAAAATTATTTTTTACTAATGCAAAAAAAATCAATTTAATAGAAAAAATAATAATTGATGCAATAAAAAATAAATATTAAATATCACATTCAAGATTTTTATATCTAACCAATTGCATCAATTATTTTTTTCTTCTATTAAATTGATTTTTTTTGCATTAGTAAAAAACAATTTTTGTTGTGGTAATTTGGATTTTTTTTCAAAAAATGTTCAATTTGATATCTGAATTAAAAAAAATGAGATTTGAAATGAAAAATAGATTTTATTGCATTAATTTTTGAAAAAAAAAACGAATTTTAGTTATTTTTCTATAATTATTTTGCAAGTTGGTTCCCCAAAATAGGAATCAGGTGCAACTTGGTTCTCCAAAATAGAAATCAGGTGCAAGTTGGTTCCCCAAAATGACGATTTTGAAAGTTGGTTTCCCAAAATAGGAATCAGGTGCAAGTTGGTTCCCCAAAATGACGATTTTGAAAGTTGGTTCCCCAAAACAGGAATTAAGTGACAGTTGGTCTTGGAATTGGCACAAAAGAGGGATTTTCACGGTAAAACACATGTCAAAGTTAATCCAAGAGCTAGCTGATTCGAATGGTGAAAGCAACGATCCTTGTCTTTGGAGCCCCTTAATTCCGAAGAAGGTAAACATTTTCATTTGGCGTTTTCTTAAAGAAGCTATTCCCGTAAGATTTAATATTTCTAAGAGAGGGATTCAGTTACAGTCTTTAGAGTGCATCCTGTGTGAAAAAGGTGTCGAAACAATGGATCACTGTTTCTTTTCTTGTTCGGTGGCAAGCATTCTTTGGAGAAAAATTTGGGCYTGGTGGGATCTTAAAGCTCCRCGWCTTTCMTCGGTGGCTGATTTTAAAATGTTGATCAAACAAGTAGGATCTCTTCGCAAGGTTGGTATAATTTTTTTATCAGTATGCGTTGTGGCTCTTTGGCATCTTTGGAAGTGGCGGAACGAAATTCTTTATGCTGAGGATGAGGTGAAAACCAAGAAAAAAGGTGAAGATCCATTCCCTTGTGTTCAAAATATCTCGAAGCTTTGGATGGGAAACAAAAATCGTAAATTTCATCTTAATTGGGAAGTTTGGTTTTCCTCTCCCTATTTTATTTAGTCTCTTTGTTTTTGTCCTCCCGTCTGTTTGGGATTGGTTTTCTTTTTTACTTTGGTTTTGTAAGGGGATGTCTTGGTTCCGTCTTTTTGCCCCTCGTATTTTTGGTTGCGTTGTATTTTCTTGTATCTAGCTTCTTGCTAGATTTGTTTTTGTTTTAATATAGTGGTTGGCTTGGTGAGGGTGATGGCCTTGCCGAAGCTCTCTTCCTTGTCCTTCCTTTTGCCTTTCAAAAAAAAAAAGTGACAGTTGGTTCCATTTTGATGCAATTTTCCCTTTTATAAATAATGAAATTCTATTTCATTTTAAATCCTACAAACCAAACATATTAAATATAACAAATCCAAATTCTTCTGCCAAATCTAAATCCCTTGAAAAACCAAACGCCCCATAAAAGTTCATAAATTCCAAATTTGCCCACCCAATTAGAAAACATATTATCTCCATCTATGAACAACCCTTCCAAACTATATAGAGAGATTAATCCACACGGTCAGTTTTATTTATGCATAACATAATAGAAAACCAACTAAACAACCAAGTGGTGGCGGTTTATTCATATAGTTATAGTGTGATGAAATGTTTATATGGTTTTTATATTTAAAAAACTTCATTTATGATTGTTTTTTTAATTGATATACATTTGATGTGTTTTCTTATCGAATTAATATCTAATTTTGACTTGCTCTTATTTCATAGTTTATCACTTAAAATGCAAATAAATTATAAAAATGTCTTCTTTTTCCCAATTGCATTTTTAGGAACATATTTTCGATATGTATATTTAATTTTTATGTGTTTTTCAAAAGTATATTTTTTAAACTATAAATTCCTAAATAAAAAAAATTAAACTACAAATCTCTAAATGTCTATCTTTAAAGTATGTTTTCTAAAACAACAATTAACCAAAAAACACTATGCATTCTAAACCTAATTGATTCATGATAGATATGTAAGCTTTTATATAATTTATTTTGATGAATGTAAGTATAAGCTATAAAAAGATTAACAAAATATTCTATTTTAAATGTTTAAGTGTCTGAACTATTTTTTTTAGGATGAAAAAAATATTAATTTTTTTCATTTTGAATGATTAAATCCTTCAACTATTTTTTGAATAAAGAGACTGTTAATTTTTTAATTTTGAATGATTAGGTATTTGGAAAAAAATGTAATAAATAAACCATCGAACTTTTAAAACTTGGTTACCTACATTCTTTTTAACAATAAGGGGGTGTTTACTTTTGACTTAATCAGCTTAATGGTTGTTTTGGCTTATTCGCACAGCCATATATGGATGTTTACTTGCGACTTAATGATAAATATATTGGCTTATTCGCACAGTAAGGAAGGGGTGTGTTGTCCCCATTAAGCCAAAATATTGACAATTATGCCCCTCATCCCACGCCTCCCCTTTCAACCCCATCCCCTCTTTCATTTCATAACCCTAGACGAGGCCTCCCCTTTCAATCCCACCCCCTCTTTCCTTTCATAACCCTAGACGAGAGAGAGAGCAACGAATGGAGAAGAAAACCTTCAGCGGGGAGACAGAGGCCTCCCCTCTTTCATCTACCCCTTTCCCTAATTTACCATGGATTGAAGAAAACCTACTACTCCACCAGCCGATTGCTTCTCCTACAGCGGACTACCTACCCTACCGCTTCTCCTCCAGCAGACTACCTACCCTACCGCTTCTCCTCCAGCGGACTACCGTCAGGGAAGGTTTTCCTGTTCGACGGGAGGGACTCTCATCGTCTTCTCCGACGATGTAAGGTTTGGGACTGGTTCGAGTCTCACCGTCTTCCCCAGAGATTTCATATTCTGGTTGGAGCCCATCATCTTCTCCAACAGATTTTGGGAGCCATTGTCTTCCCGGAGATTTCATGTCTGGTTGGAGCAAATCGTCTTCTCCAACAGATTTTACCACTTTACTATTTTGATCCAACATATTTTGAGAAATCATCATCTGGGTTCCATAAGACAGGCCCCATCGAGCATCTTTTTTGATCGAATCGGTTTTGGATTTTTGGTTTGATGAACAATAGATTTTTTATTTGAGTTTGAGGGTAGATTGGTCATTATTGTCATTAAGACAATTGATTCAGGTAAAAAAGTAAACACTAATAAATTTTTATCTAGAAAGACAAATTTATCTAGACAGACAAATTTATCCATACAGAACTTAATGGAAAGTTTAGTAAACAGCCCCTTAAAACTACTTGTAAGACTGTAACCGACTAGAAAGATCTTAAAATGACAAAAAAAAAACATAAATCAGTTTTACCGCTTCCAAGCCCTACCCTTTCAAACCCCTCACAAACAATGATATCACTTTCCCTTTGCCGCTTCATGTCTTCTGATGTTGTGCATTATTCACTGTTGGCCCCTAATATCGATCTCTTTCTTCTTCTTTTTTAGAGGGTTACAAGTAGTTTTATTGTATGATTTTTTTAGTCGGTTACAAATAGTTTTTTTTTTTTTTGAAAAGATGTAAACTAACCAATTTTTAAAAATTTGATGATTTATTTTATTGAAAAAAATATTTAATAGATTTAATCATTCAAAATGAAAAGATTTAATGATTTTTTATTTTTTATCTAAAAAAAAAGAACTTATATTAATTATATTAAATTAAGAATCTCATTAATTAAGAATTTCTGAGATGAGGTATCTTTTTTTTGGCATTTTAATAAGGAAAGGCTGTTAAAAATGGATGGATGCATTCTCGCCATTAAAGATAGATACTCGAAAACGTTAAACCATGATGAGGGGAGGTTATTAATTAAAAGACAAACAAGCACCTTTAATTTCATTTGTATTAGAATTCATCAAATTCCCTCCATTCCTAATAAATACCTTTTTGGTTGGGATGAAGTCGAGTTTTAATAGGTTTTAGCTTCAAACCCATGCTTTCTGCTTTATACAGCTCTGCACACATTGAAGTCGGGCTCAACGGGCTTCTCGGGCTTATATTCACCTCCCATGCTCTATAAACTCCATATCCCATCAAGAAGTATTCCAACCCCATCAACATTGCCTCTGGTTGCTCCTCCGTTACCAATGACCCGCATCTTCCAACCTAAATATGTCACAAACCCTTGTTTTATAATGAAATCACATGTGATTAAGGAAAGCAACAACTTTCATTGCTAAGATGCTATTGAACCTCCTTATGTTAATATCCAATTACCATGGTAAATTATATGCTCTCATGGTAAATTATAATCACTAGTCTTGAGCATATACCTCTATTAATGCACTGAATCTTCTATCTAGTTTTGAAGTCATCTGTAGAGACTCCAAATGGAACGGAGAATTTTCTCCCACAAAGATCAGAGAACGACACTGCAGCCTTTTCAACCCCTCCGTGATGTCGGATCTCCTGAACAATATAACACAAGTTCATGTTCCCAATTCGTTTCAGCCCAGCAACAGCAACGATTAAAAAATATTTCTTTTTTACCCATTCAGAGCTTGGAGAAATCGCAACACGTTATGACTCTGCATATCACCGAGCGACTGCAGAAAAGTGGTTCAAAACCTGCGTATACCAATTTACATATTGCACTAGAACTAGAAAGGTAGATAACTGGAGGACTCACTTTTCTACATGATTGAACCGTATCAGAATCTGGAACTATACTACCTCCACGAACTTCCTGTCATTTAACATATCATAATTTCAGTCATGCTGTTTGTTGTTAACAACTAAGAGGCTGTTTACTTTACTTCCGTTGAGCCTGAGTTATCTATCTAAATAAATTTGTCCGTCTGATGGAGAGAGACCGCTGTGTTTGAGGGAGGCAAACAGAGATGGTTAGATTAATTCTGGGCATTTCCGGCATTAATTTGTTTGAGGTGGCTTAACGAGGACAAGTTAGGGGGCCTGTCTTATTCCATGTATCCATTTTCACTTAATGGCTCATAAAGAGATACTCCTATATGGCTGAGCGAATAAGCCACTTGGACCATTAAGTTCATTAAGTTGTAAATACTGGTTTACCAAAAATTACCATATCCGTACCTTACTGAAATAACGCATTAAAAATAACTCCTTTACAAAACCACACATCCCATAGTAATATAGGACATTTGAAGTGACCTGAAAACAAATAAGTTTGTTAGCAAGATTGGTTGGCATTTACTGGAATAACAAGTGTATCTGGAAACTAACCTTGTTAAACAACCATTCTGACCAAGAAGGTGTTTTGCATAGAGGAGAAACGAGTATGAGACCAATTACTCGTCGTCTATATTTTATCTGTTTGCCGAAAGATAACCCATAAGAAACTACAAATCTGTTAATTAACTTTTTTCTAAATGGGGGTGCAATACACATAAGGAAGAAGCAGCTTACAGCAAACAGGGTAAGTACATAAGCACCAGCTGTTACCCCCAAGCACATAACTGCACCAAGTCTGCAAGAAAGATTCACAGGTTTAATCAACTTCTTTCACATCATCACTGAGTTTAAAAAGAGGGAAAGGGAGGAAATAGAAGTGTTTTTAGGATGAAAAACAAGAGTTCATAAAATGTTTTAGAGGGGTTAGGCTTCATGAACACGTTTATAACTTGAATACGTTGGAAATACCTGAAATAGGAAGCAAATAAAGAGATGTAATTCGAAAAGTACCCAAAATGGTCAAGAACCTCGGCAACCTGATCAGCTAAGTCATCAACAGATAACGCCGGATCATCATATGACACTGCAGCAGCTCCCAACTGCAAAAACTCTTAAAGGAGGTACCAGATAAGACAGGATGCAAATGAATAAATGCGAAAATTATATCAAAAGAACAATTAAGACATAAATATGTAGCTCCCATTAAACATTCTTACCATGCGATGAGATGGTATATAATGTGGCATGATGGTTCTATGTTGTTAAACTAATTTATCCATCCATCATGTCTTCTATCAAATTATAGGTTTGATGGTATGTTTCCTGGTACTGTTTAATTAGTTGATCAAAATAAAAGGCCAAGTTACCAATTACTGACCTCATGGCCGGGAGGATTAATATGATATATGCAGAAATTATGAAGCAGCAGAGAAAATGCTTCTGGGCATAAGAACAGCCCTTGGAAACAGGACATATCTGCACAAACAACCACAGAAAAATCATCCTTGACAAGGGGTAAGAATCTATATTCATTCAACTTGCTATAAAGCCAACTTTTCAGACCATAATTTCAATTTGGCTCCAGAGCAGAGATTTTGAAGGCAATAAGAACAATTCTAAGCAAGCAACTCTAATATTTTGTCAAAATTTATCATATAAATGTCACATTATTTGACAATATGTATACCACGAGTAATATACAAATTCGTATTCCTCAAGTATCTCATACAATTCTGATCCAATAGCAAATAAGGATCAGCTTCGTGACACGTATATGGTGTCACATGCATCGCTTTAATCAGTTTGAATAAAACATTTTTTAGCGCTTTAAGTAGTAAGAAGAACTAGTTCACTTACAATTTAATGCCAGATCAGGATATGTAATCAGAGCTGGCTTGTCCGGGTCTCCGAAGATGGCAACAGAAATAAATCCATTGGCAGTTTTGACAAGGTGCTCCTGAATGCAGTACTGAACGCATTAATTTACATAATGATGACATAAGACAGCTATTTTCGTTTACAATGATATACATAGTTTGATCAAAAAGAGGGGACATTGCCAGTGGCCACCAAATCTCCTCATACCATCTTCTTAATGAACAGTACTGGTTCGAACAAAGATATTTATGTTGATGCTACAAGATTCTTAACTACTTTCTAGTTTTGTATAACCATTGATTCAGTAATTTGCTGACAGGAATGTCTAATGCACATGATTATATCAAAATCAATTAATAATGACATTGATTTCAAAATAAATTTTGAGAAGTATAGTTAGTTTCTAAATACGTAGCATGACTTTGAATGGATGAATGGATCAAATAGAGTTTAATAAGGATAAATTGCACAATTAGGACTCAAAAGTTAGTGTATTCGTACTTTAATACCGAGTAATTACTTCCACAAGCATAAGCTTAAAGAGACTCATGCATAGCACAATATCCACTTACAACTGTCCCTCTTATGCTTTAATGTATACTCATCTTACTTTTTCTCACGATTAATAACTTAATATTCAATTAGAGACAGGCAACTTATGGTCAAACATTAAAAAGGGTTCCCAGAGTAATATTATTACACATTCAAGAAAAGCTGTGAAAAGGAACATTTATAACCTTGTCATGTTCTCATCAACGACTCTCTTATTGGGAATCCTGGGAAAAAGGAGAAGCTTTAAAGGAAGATTGAGCTGTGTATGAATATTCGTACAGCACTTTGATGTTTAAGAGTACCAATTAACAGACAGCATCTGACATAAAGATGATCATGTTCTCTACAATGACATTTTCCCTTTCTCATTTACTTAACGACAACTGCATGCTTACAAGAATGCTTCTTGACTCCTCATATATAGCATTCAAAATCAGTTCATTGACGCTCAGATTGTCGCAAAGCTGAAATTGAATAAATCTTCCTTCAACAAGTTTTATTTGCCAAGAGGTCTGTACTTTTGCCCACTAAACCAAAAGGACAATTATGTGTAGCCCAATTCAGCTTTTGCAGAGTGATTTCATTCATTATAGCTTCAACATGCGTTGTCCCAAAACCAAATTTGAAACGAAAGAAAAAAAATACAAAACAAGAAATTTACAAATAGCATAAGATGCTCTTTCTTGCGTGATTAGACATTACCTACCAAATACTTAAAAAGTTACTGAACCTTTTAGAGCAAATCAACCAAAAGGTTTGAAGTTAAATAAAAGCTTAGGTAGTTACAGAGTAGACTACACCTCCCGGCTCCCAATAAAATTAAACCACACAGCTAGACAAAGAAACCAAAATATTCGTTACAGTTGGTAGTCAATTACAAACAACGGATGGGTATCATCATTTGTATAACAAATGCCTTCATTAAAAACAAAAGATGGTTAACAAGAAGAGAAGTAGAACACAATTAATTAAGTTTTAACGTCTTCGCATATTCTAGCTACATTGTGTACAAGTGACAGCTAACCTATTAATTAATTTTAAGTAAAGACAACCACTTATTTTTCCTTTTCATTGATAGTTTGACAGTTAAAAGTATAATCACGAGTTAACCTTAACATGCACTTATTTGTTGTATTTAGTGTATGAAATAAGAGTTTCTTTCTCCTACTCTTTTTTTTTTTTTAGACTCGTATATACACAGATATGCACATTTTTGTATCATAAATATTTTAGAATTTCCGAATCCATGTACTTATTATCAGGTCCTCGTATTCCCGCATCCCTCATCTTGGTATAACTGTTAGTTACTTCATATAGATTTAAATTAAATGTTCATCATATTCAATCCTCAATTATTCCACTCATTTCCATTTCGTTTCGAGTAACTATTCCAACGTGAACCATATTAGCAAGAATTGCTAGTCTCACTCTGGAAAACTCTTCACCATAAATAATACTGATCATAGCTCATTGATTTCGAGTTCAAACCCCAAGAGATTTAACAGATTCCTTGAAATGTGATATCTATTATTCAATCAATCAATGACAACGATGTCGATATCTGAATAATATATATATATATATATATATATATATATACACACACACACATATAATAACAACGAAACTACTTAAAAATCAGAGTACACAGATAAATGCAGCAATTCCTCGATATATACATATAATGATATAAACATTCAATTGTATCTTCTAACCTTTCTATCAGGAGAGCTGAGTTCCATGTCAATGGCGACTAAATCGTTTGAATCCGCCATTTTTTGGCATCAATTGGTTTATATACGAATCTACGTTTTTGGCTCCTTAGTCTCTATATCTGAGCACTGGAGACTGGAGACTGGAGACTGGAGTGTGTGAGTTTCTCTCTCTCTATACCTATATATAGGGAACTAGCTGTGTGCCTATTATACGGAAAATGGCAGTTTTAGCCCCTATAGTTTTTAAATGTTTTTATTCCGCCCATAATCATCTTCTTTTCATCAAATTGCCCCGTTTCTAATCTCTTTTTAAAGTAATTATTAAGCTTATTTCATGAAAAAATTGTGGTCTTTTATATTTTTAGAAATTTTCATGTAAAAATACCTGTTTTTTATAGTTACATATATCTTAATATTAAAAATAATGTTGATTTGGTTTTAGGGTACTTTTTGTTGACTAGAGTCCAAGGCCACTTAATTTATGAAAAAAAAAACACGTGCACTTTAGTAATTGAGTTTAGCATGTATCAACTTCATTCGTATTTATTTGTGTACGTTTGAACCGGGATTGACTCATTTCAGCTTAGAGTCAGTAAGCGTAATCTAATAGATTCAAATTCAACTCAAGCTTGTCATGCATGAAGTTGACTTGGATAGTCAACAAGCTAACTCAGTTTCACATACCATAGTTTTTGATGAAGAGACCCGAGAGTCCTCATTACACAACTTGTCTTGTTCACAATATTTTCTATGTTGTCATTTTTTTAATAGTTGTTTAGATGTCTTATAAATAGTTAAATGATTTTCAACTAATGTCCTTCGAATGAAGATATAATGAGAAAGAAAAGTGTTTTACATATTCATTAGAAGTTCGCTCATCTAACTCTGAGAAATTGGGGTATCTGGATTAAATATTTAGCCATAAATTAAATATTTATATCAACTCTTTCATTAAGTTTTTTTTCTTCTTCATTATTTAGCCATAAATTAAATATTTATATCAACTAATTGAACTAAAATTTGACAAAAATAGTATAACTAATTATATGATTAAATAGGCTTAACCATTAGAAAACTTCAAAATTTGTGAGCTCAAATAGAACTTATACTTTAAGATTTTGTTTCACATTACTTTTTTCATTGAAGTATAGTATTAAATGTATTGATTAACATATATTTGTTTCATATGTATTTGGTTGACAATGCGAAACTTTTTACGTCTACTTTTTGTTTCACAAACACGCCATAAAAGGGTACATACGAAACAAATATATTGTAAATAAATATGCGTTAATCACTACATTAAATTCTAATTAGATGAAAAAAATCATATAAAATTGCACATGATGCATTGTTCTTAGAGGTCTCATGATTTAAAGAGTTTTCAGAAAAAGTTCTCCTATGATTATAAAATCACAAGTACGTTATAGCATTTTAAATTTATAGTTGAAAAAAATAGAATTACAAACCATAAATAAATGAATAGAATAGAAATTGAGGGCAAAAGAGAGTAGATTTGAAATAGAGGGGAGCAAAGTGAAAAGTTAAAAACATTGGTGTGGATGTGGAACACATAGATAAAATAAATGGAGCGACCGACGCTATCCTTGATTCTCTTGTATTTATGTACAGATCACGAGTGGGATCTGGCCCACTACCAGTCACCCCTCCCAATTAAATACTTAACTCCATACCCATGACTATGGTCAGCTCTTTAACCTGACCACAGTTAAATACCGACACATTTTCAGTTCCTTTCGCCTTTATTGCATTCAACATCCATACCTTAATAACATCGACATGAAAAACTTATTATTTTATTAATTCAAGAGTTTCCGTTTATCCGGTAGGTATTTATTAGTAATAATCATCGTTCTTATTGGCACAAGCCATCATTCTTGATAAAATTCTCGTCACCAAAATAGACTGATGACAAGCATTTGTAACTCGGTAAACTTTATCAGATAAGTTTTATCACAGTCGTTTATCGAGTAAGACTCTCGGTCCTTGTTTTCCTTCTTATCAGACAAGATTCCCGGTCTAGTTATGTTCATCCAGTAAGGTAATTGAACATTTAAGTATTTACTAAAGTAAATATTTAGAAAACAGCCCTTTAAAAAAAATTAATTTCATATGTTGGTCATGAGCCATGATAAAGATTTAATTTAATCGAAATTATAATCAGTTGGGTACTAATTTATTGAAATTATATTATGATGAAATTGATATGCAAGTAAATACCTGATGCGGTTTTATATTTACGAGTTGTACGTCGATATGTATAACAAGATGTAAAAAAAATTCTTCGTAAAATAAAAATGAGAGATTAATATTATTTCTTATTAAAAATAAAAATATCAAATTTATGTTTAAATCTAATAGCTAAAAATGTTAAATTGTTTTTATTTTATTTATTTAAAGGTTAAATACTTATGGATGACCGATAGCAAAGTTATACCGTGAGGGAAGGATGAAAAGAACCCTCATCAGAGACTGAAACAGAACATAAACCCGTAAGCCCCCAAACAGTGGGAGGAGCATGGGGCTCACAACAACTAGTTGTATTTACTAGCTATACGATCATTAATTAAAATATGTCTATGTTAACTAATTGGCGAGCTCTCGGAATAGTCGGAGCCTTTATTCTGAAAGGGTAAACTTTTAGGGGGATTAGGTTATGTGAAATTACTACAATCAAACTACTTATTTTCTCAATTCACCCTTAATTACACACATTCTCAAGAGATTTGATTGATCTTTTAAGTTCTATAACAAAAAAAATCAGATAGTTAAAGAGCATTTAACTGAAACGTTTTAAAATTAAAATCTTGGACTTCACCTATGTTGAACACATTTTCAGTTAAGAATTATCAATAAACCATCTCTTATGATCATTTAGAGGCCGTTTTACTAAACATTATTGAATAAGCGTTTGCCGGTATCTTTTACCTTATAGATTGGTATGGAAAGAACATAAAATCTTACCCGGTAAAAGGCACTGGAAGGTTCGAGAGTCTTGCCCAGTAAATATGGGAAAAGATTCTTACTGGTAAGCTCTTAATATGTTTAAGACGTTTACCAACAATCCATTTTGATGGCAAAAAATATTACACAATAAGGTTACCGGTAAACGCTTACCTGGTAAATATTTACCCGGTAAACGTTTAATAAACGAGCACTTAGCTGACCAAATTTGATAGGATTCGGATTTTGATTTAGCAGTCCCAGGTTTCAATAAATGCCCACATACATTGGATTTAGAACGAGCTAGTTAGTATTTTCACAGGATTTGATAAGATTTGTTTGTATTAATATTTTGAAATAGATTAAAAACATTTGCTTGTAATAATTAATCAATCATTTAATTATTTATATAAATTATCAAAAAAAAAATCAATTCTATCATTAAAAATTTTAACTCCTTACATAAACTTCAAATCTCTTAAGAATATTTTGTCAAAACCAAAAGGCTTTTGATATAAACCATAAGGGTGGTGTCTGATTAGTTTGAGCTTGTTCTCTGAAGATCAAAAGTACTTGGAAGTCCCAGATTCATATGCAAGGAAAAATAAAAATCTTCTTGTGGTCACGGAGGTTTAAATACGGTGACTCCAAGCTACCTACAAAACAAATGATCGTTCTAGAATTAGTCAGCTCGCATAACGGGTTGGATATTCAGGTTAATAAAAAAAAAAGACTTTTGATATATCAAATTTTTTACTTAATTCTTTATTAATATTATATTCCTAATATTTTAAGTTTTCTTTTGAAAACCTTTCATAAAAAATAAATTTATAAAATAGTATAGACTTTTGGGCAAGGTTTGAGTTTTGGCGTTACTTGTTATTTAATATGAACGTTCCGTTTCAATTGGGCTGTTTATGGTTCAACGCTCGGAAGGCAGGAATTTCATGTGAACCAATTAGCTTCAAATTACTTTTAACCACCATCCAAACCGAAATCCAGAATCAAAACGAAATAAGGGAATTTTTGGTTGGTTTTTATTCATGTATGAACAAAATTGTCTCTGTAGATTAATATGTTCATATAAATTGAATTTTTATTTTATTTTAGAGGGTTTTCTCATAATGAAAGGAATGTATGTTTTAACTAGGAAGAATGGGTTTGAAAAAAGGTAGGTTTTCTACATAAAGCTCCCCTTAAAAGCTTACCGAATAAGCCACTACCAAACAGTATTGTATAGCTGACCAAATAAGCTGTAAGTACCATTAAGCTTATTAAGTTGCTAACAAGCAAGCCCTAACCGCCTTAAATCAACTCTATCAAATTTACTTACTCTAAACCAATATGTTTACATTTTTAGAACATCGTACAACTGCCAATGCAATTGATCGCCTCACCGGACCATATCTACCATCTCTTGATCAGAGACCGAGTTTCCGACTTCACTTTTACCACAAAAAACATCGTCGCCCAGATTCTCGTGACAGCATTTTATAACCTTGATCTGCTTTTGTACCTCCCCCGTGCTATCTCGTTTTCTTCTCCCGTTGATCCTTATGGGTGCATCCTCAACCATAGTTTCCCCATCTTTCGCTCCCTGTTCGATTCCATCCAACTTGTATTTCACAGATTTTTCGTGTAATTCTGAGATGCTGTGATCACATATCTTAATTCCCTGTTTTTCCAAAACCAACAGCCAGCCTGCATTTGTGAATTAGATGCCAACTATTTAGAAACAAGAAAAAGGAAAATAAATGTCCTTCCATCAATCCCTTTTAGACACTTTGCAACCAAATAAAAATATATATTGTCCCAAATCCCATCTAACCGTCTTGTCCACCAATCACATGAAGCCACATCATCACCTTGTAACCGTGGTTCACTTTGAGGTCCAAACAATACAAGTTCTTTTCCACCCAAAAGAAGAGGTTATTACCAAAGGGCCTTTGGCCTAGCAATATCGTAGCCTTTGGCCTCATTGGAGGTCAGGGGTTCAAACCTCACCAAAGGTGATGAGGGTATGTTAGTTTATTTGTTGCATTTGCCGTATATAAATATTATATACTTCAAAAAGAAAAAGAGAGGTTATTACTTAAAAGACCAGCAGCCTTTGCTCATTGTGGTTGTGGTTTCAAGACTCGATACTAACAGGGTGTGTTTTCTGTTTCTAGTTGCCTTCCGAAAATACACTTGTTACATAGCAAAACCATGCACCCAAGAAAGAAGCAAGAGTATGTGAGAATGAGAAAGTTATAAAAAGCGGCATACCGATAAGCTCCTTCGGGGAGGAATTATGAGGTGCAGTTGGTTTTGTACTTGTTCCACCAGTAACCCAAGAAATTATCTGACCGGGGAGCTGAGACGCCAAAAAGGCGTTGAGATAAGAATCGACTCTGACATGGTCACCATTTTCACTGCAACCGAAAAAGAGATTACGAGTCGTGATACAAACTACATAATCCAATTTTTTATAGAATATACATCTGTTTATTAATTTCAGTCCACAAGACTCCACCATGATATGTGACATTTGTACTAATAGTCAAACATTTCATTATAACGTTTTATAGAAGACATTGTCCAAACTTTTACATGATCATGTCGCTTATGGTCCACGGTCCTCATGAATTGACCAGTATCTCAAGGGTATACTAGACATTTGGCAAACATTGTATTGAAACTTTTCATGATTTAAGGGTATTTTACACATTATCCAACTAATTGTAAATTATATTGTTCGTTTTGTAAATTTTAGGCCACAAGACTCTATCATTATGTCATAATTATGGGGTTATAGAAACTCAAACAGATAATCAAACACTTTCATTAAAATATTAAGCGTATTTTAGCATTGTCTAATTAGTAAAACGTACTCCATATAGTAGATCCTTGTCCACAACACTTTCAACACTGTTATGTCATAAATCATAATGAGAGGCATTTAACCAACGTCCAATCATTCTATTAAATTATTACATAATTGATGGGTAGTCAAACATTTATTAAAACATTTCCTAATTGAAGGGTATTTTAGACAATGTCCAAATAGTAGTAAAACACACACCATCTTGTAGCTAACAATCAAACATTTGTTAAATAATTCACAATTGAATGACATTTCAGCATCATCTAAGTGTAGATTTTGACCCAAAAGACTCCAATATATGCAATAATTGAACAATATTTTAGACATATAACTAATCGCTAAACATGTATGACTATGTGCAACTCCTAATCACTGTTCTTGCTGTCCCGGTGACATCAAGTACGACTTACCTTGCAAACTGCAGCGCTGAGTTTGTGACAAACAACCATAAGATGACAATCTTTTTGTACTGATCATCCGAGAGCCAAGAGGAGGTATCACAACTCAGAAAGCACCCGAAATCCAATGCAACATCAAAAAGCAGTCGCCTGAGGAGGAGTTCATCAGTCATGGTCTGTAAGCATATCAGGAGTACATTAGTAACCACATTCTACCAGTCTTCCTATGTGGGTTGTACTCTATGACTGTAGACATATATCTCTCATACGGGCATCTGGTGTAGTATGACTAGATGATAAGTCGATGGTATAGAAGAACTGACCAATAGCTCTGCAACAGGCAACCTTGGTTCCAACAGCACCTTGAAAAGCATAACTGAGAGTTGATAAAATAGATCAGATATTATTACAAGGAGAAAGAATTCAAACAGTGAAAGAAACACTTGAACACCCTTTTCGCCATAGACCACATTCTTCATGAAACTATAATAACAAAACTAGAAAAATGTAGTAGAGATTGGTGGTAGGAATGACATGTGGAAACCATTCTATGACCCCCACACAAAAAAACTAAAGAACTTACAAAACAAATAAAAATTCAACTTGATTGAAATATGAAGTGTTTCTAGTTGAGGTAATTGGCCATTCGATTCCCATGGAATAAACATAGATGCATTTAGGGCAAATGGTGATTTTAAGATATCTGGTGGCTTGCAATGGGAAGTCAAATAATGTGTTGGGGGTGACACCTTCCATAGAATGCATCCATGTCTGGGAAGTTGCTTGAAAACTAACATTGTTCTTTTCAATGGTTATATATATATATAACAACTTCAGAAATTTCATACAAGTCCAACAAGTAAGTTTTGACTCATTTAGATTATTATGTATATGATATTTTTTTTTTTTTTTGAAGTATATAATATTTATATACGGTAAATGCAACAAATAAACTCACACACCCTCCTCACCTATGGTGAGGTTTGAACCCCTGACCTCCTAGGATGCCAAAGGCCACGATACCGCTAGGCCAAAGGCCCTTTGGTTGTATATGATATTGTTGTAGGCAGAAAGAGACTATCATTAGCAAATCCTGTCATTGCCTTAAGAGCCAGTCTAAATACCGTTTAGGAACCCGATGACAAATTTCATATACAGCCTCAACAGAAAAATCTCTGATGACATCAGCGGTAAATATTATGACACCCAAATCAATCTTACATGTGAGCTCATCACTTGCAGGGGGAACACCGCCTCAAATCATCATTAGCACATTCACAGTTCATTCAAGCACAGTCTACTAGTCAAACGTTAATCAAAAGCCTAAAGTTTGATGTCAATTAACTGAGCCTGTTTTCTGGTAGAACAAGATTCTCTATAATAGAAGCTATTTTCTAGGGAAAGCATACTCTCTATCCTCAAGCTTGCAATTTCCTCAAACAACAAGCAATTTTTTCATGATACCACGGAGTCAAATACTAACTTTTACGTGGCAAACACTGTATATTTTTACTTCAAACTGATAACACCTTTGACAATAACACTCTTTTACATGTAGTAAATGCTAACAAGTCTAATGCAGTTACAGAATTTGAATACTAAATAGCACAATGCATTTTTGTTAGGTTTCTTCTATGTCAATCATGTACATTCAAATCAAATTAGCAACTTTGGCGTCCATGAATCATATTGAACTTCATCGAAGACATTAGAAGCCGATCAAACTTCACTTAATTATGGTAACCTTTTGTGGTAACTATCAACAGTAACAAAAATCTAATGCTACACCATGTAATAAGGTAATAATGGTTGTATGGCATATGGTCATATACAACCATCCAAACCAAGATACCAATGGAATTTCTAACATCAGACAGGAAATATGTTAATCTTGTCAAGGAATAAAGGATCATGTAAATTCTCACCTAGAAAGGTTGAATTCTTCTTGAACCCCTTGATAATCTGAGCAGCATGAATCTTCACATCCTTATGCAATTCCTTCCGTGAAACTCCTGGATGAAACATCAGACACAACCTCAACAAAAAGGACTCGATCATAACAACCCCAGCAAGGTAAGCCATCCCACAATCCCCACCAATTCCGCGACGAATATCATCAGTTGAAAGAGGTAAAAACAACTGCAAACCATCTACGCAACCTCGATTCTCCCCAACCTGATCAGCGATCCAAACCGGCACTAGACCAACCCAACTCACCGTTGATTTACCAACCACAACCTCTTGGTCTTCCAATTCGTTATTACAACATACAACGATGTGAGTAACTATTGCATCCACTAAACCCTCGAACTCTGATTTAAAGCTAGAAATTTCAATCTTAAAGTTCACTAATTGGGATAAAACTGGGGCGAGAAGAGACACTTGCTTCAATGAACTGATACCAGAGGGGTTCCGAAAGGAAACTAAGGAGTGAAACAAGTCTTTAACAGACAACAAAAGATTATGTGAATCTCTTAAGGTAGTTGACTTAGCCGAGTGGAATGTGAGTGCAGAATAAAACCAGATGAATTCAAGAGGTGGGTCTGTCATCGTCTGGATCAAACGGAAGAAAATTGAGCCGAGTTCTGAAAAATCGGTTCTACCTTTCTGAAGCTCCACTAGAAAGTGGTAGATTGATTCGTTTAACATGGGTTCCAAGTTTTCAAGCAATGATGAATTGAGGGTTTGCAACTTCATGCTCTATTTAGAACGATCGGACAGCGATTCAAAGAAGAATCTGCAAGAAGTGGAGGGTAAATACAACTTCAATTGTGAAGAACCTGTAATTTTGAGGTGTAATAGCTATGGCATAACCAAAGGCTAAAACCCTAATATGGAAAGCTATGAAGTATGAACGAGGGAAGTTTTGGGGCTTATTTCCCCAACGGCAGGAATTTGAATTGTAAAAAAAAATTAATGGATTTTATTGTTTGAAATAATTAAGTTTTTGATAATTTTTTTAGAATAAATAAGTTTTTGGATATTTTAAAATATGTTAAATAATTTATTGGACAATTTTTTGAAACAAATAAATTATTGGACATTTCAAAACATGTTAAATAACTTTTTAGAAAATTTAAAACATGTTAAATAACTCATTGAACAATTTTTTGGAACAAATAAGTCTTTGGACAATTCAAAATATGTTAAATAACTCCTTGGACTTTTCTAAAACATGTTGGATACATTCTTATGACTTGTACAACTAGTTAATGTGGTAAATAGTGAAAAAAAGTCCAAAAAAACACAATGAACATTCATATTTTGAACGATTAAGTCCCTAAACATTTTTTGAACAAAAAATAATTTAGATCTATAAAATTAAACAAATATAACAAAAGTACTTACATTTACAAAAAAAATAATTATATTTAAAAAATATTTTTGGTAAATTTTATTTTAATTAAAATTAAAATATATTTAGTCAGTGATTTTTCAAACTAAAAAAAATAAATTTTTTTATAAAGAATTATTGATTAAGTTTGTTTTAATTAAAAATAAAAATATTGTATTTTTAATTGAACTAAATTTCACCAGTAATCTTTTTAAATCTCTTTTTTAATTTAAAAAATTACATACATGATATATTTTATTTTTAATTAAAATAAATTTAATAATAATTCTTTTTAAATTTTTTTGTTTGAAAAATCACTGACAGAATATATTTTAATTTTAATTAAAATAAATTTTATCAAAAAAAATTAAAATGTAATTATTTTTTTGTAAATGTAAGTACTTTTTTGTTATATTTATTTAATTTTATAGATCTAAATATTTTTTGTTCAAAAAAATATTTAAGAACTTAATTGTTCAAAATATGAATGTTCATTGAGGGTTTTTTCGGAGTTTTGTAACTATTTTATCACTTTAACTAGTTGTACAAGTCATAAAAATGTATCCAACATGTTTTAGAAAAGTCCAAGGAGTTAATTAATATGTTTTGGATTGTTCAATGAGTTATTTAACATGTTTTGGAATGTTACAATGATTTATTTGTTCCAAAAAATTGTCCAAATACTTAATCATTTCAAACACTAAAGTCTATTAGGTTTTTTTAGATTTTTCCCGATTTTTAAATAAAAAATACAAAATAAATGTATATGTCACCTAGTTTTAAATAAATATCCATTTCAATCTATACTATATTATAAAGCATTTGACAAAAACTCTTAAAAACTATTTTTTATGCATGAAGTACTGTTTATTGATGCATATTGCGTACTTAAAATTCAAGATTACAAGTAAATTATGCATAAGTACAACTTATTAAAGCTTCATGTTTGAAGTTATGTAACTAACTGCAGATAAATATCTTATTTTAATTATAAAGTATCTAAAATATAATTAGGATAATCATTGAGTTATGACATAATGTTTAATTATTATCTTAGATAAATTATTTTATTAAACCAAAAATAAATTAGTTCGGTTTTAAAATTCAATTAAATCATAATAAAAAATTGAATTAAATAAATTACACACAAAAAAAAATTAAATAGTTAATTTGATATTAATATCGCTTATTTTTATCAAAATTTTATAATATTTTCAATTTTATATTTAATTCAAAAATAAAAATAATTATTTTTTCTCAAAACCACATAAAATCGCATTATAACAATGGTATACCCAAAATATAAAACGAAAGATTAAAATCAAGATGAATCTCGCTGCATTGTGCGAGTACCCATCTAGTTTTTATTTAATTTAACTGGGGACCCTTTTTTTTAATAACTCTCTCTCTTACTCACCACATCCGATTTAAACTATAAAAATACAATTAATTTAATATATTTAAACCTCTCTGTCTTATTTTCTTTTTCCTCTTTTATTCAAAAATTGATCATTTGAAGATGTGTTGCTCATGTAAATTTTGTTAAGATGATAATTCGAAAACACAACTGCAATCGAAAGAACAAGTACGAAAAAACCTGCAATACTGGATGTAGGAGACGATGGGGATTGTCATGAGATCACCGAAAATATTGTGAAATTTGATTCATACGTATCTTTTCCAAAACTTAAAAAAATATCCACTGGTTACACAAGTAATTCGATTAAAATTAATAAAAACAAATTAATTATTTGAAACATGAACCGACCTTTAAAAAAAATAAAGATGAAAAACAAATAAATGATCTCATTGGTTACTTCAAGGTTGCATCAGTTATACGATTCGAACATGTTGTACTTGATACGTTTAAGTATATAAAAAATGAACATTCACTTACACTCATGATGGTATTGACATATCGGTTTATTAAAATTGACAGTTAGTTGATGATTTTGATCCATTCATAATTTATTAAAAATTATGAAATCATAGAATTCGGCTAAAAAGAATCGGACGACTTTAGGGACCTTTAGTCTACCTTAAAAGTGCCTCTACTAAACAAAAGAATTAGATCCGCCATTGATACTTAACAAAAACAAAAAATCTATATTATATTTGTAATAATTTTGATATTGATATTTTTTTTCTAAGATGGTTTTTTATGGTTGTCTTATCTATACTATATTATAAAGCATTTGACACAAACTCTTAAAAATAACTTTGTATGCATAAGGTACTATTTATTGATGCATATTACCTAAAATTCAAGATTACAAGTAAAATGTGCATGAGTACATATTATTGAAGCTTCATGTTTGAATTCGTATAACTAACTGCATATAAACATAATCAAATACATGATAAACATCATTTTAAATATAAAAAATCTAAAATATAATTAAGATAATCATTGAGTTCTAACATAATATTTAATTACTATCTTAAATTTTGGACCAAAATTGAAGGCTTTTGTGATAGTTGAAGTATTGAACTCACTTTTAGGCTTGTGCTTTAGGTTTGATTTCTAGAGAAAACTTAATCATGGCTTTATATTAGATTCAATTTTCATGTTGTGGTTCGTCGTAAGTATTTAAAAAGCCAAGATACGAGTTTTTCAAAGAAACCATGCAAATGCTTTAAGTTTCGTTTTTTTGAAGAAAAAAAAACTTAGTGCACAAGTTTTTAATTACTTTTATCATTTTAAAAGCTTTACATTTTTTGCTTTAATTTAGGGTTTTTCTAACCCCACCCCCTATGGGTGCATGTGAGGGGGGGGGGGTGAGATTGTGTAGGGGGGTGAGTATGTGAGTGTGAGAGTGAGGGAAAGTTGTGAGGGTTGGTGTGAGAAGGAGAGTTATGAGGGTGAGAGTGAGGGTTGGTGTGAGGAGGAGGGGGGGTGAAAAGTGATGTAGGGGGGGGTGAGGATATCAATCCCCTTAATTTATCATCATTTACATTTCAGTCTTTTAAATTATTGCCATTTACATTCAAGTCATCTAATTTATGCAATTTACTTTCACCATTTATTCATTGTTGTTTACATTCTTGTATCATTTATTTTCCGTAATTTATTTGCAATAAGTTTCCTTTTCTAGACTTTAACAATTGCAATTTATTTTATGCATTTTTCCATTCCCGTTATTTACATTAAAGTCGTTACATCTTTTATAAAAAGAATCTTAACAATGATAAACTGACAATATTAGCTTGTAGTGTAATAATGAGTTAAGATTTAGACCGGTGAAAAAGTAAAAAAGATGTTTCGAATATAACAGTATAGTATCAAGTTATTTAAATCAAAATATTAATATTTCATTGAAGATTACATTTAACTAATTGACAACTAGTTATTTGTATGAAAATGTGTTAGCTTTCAACAAGTTATTTTAAATATTAATTATGAGATAACAATTATCTTGCTGTAATATATTTGTACCTGAATACTTGTTTTTATCTTAACAAATTTTTACACCATTTTTTTTATTGATTTTTCTGTAGTTGATAATTTATCAACCAACCAAAAGATATTTTCGAATTCGCCATCTGAAAACATCTTTTAAGGACCAGACTTTTTTAAAGACATTACAAGTCATGTTTTGTGGGAACGATGTTCGATACTTGTACCGTTATTACTTGTTACAATACAACAATAAATTAAGGTGTATATTTGTGTCAACGTCTATTTTTGCGTTTAATTTTAAGGGTTGTATAAACCTCATGACAATACACTAAAAATACAAAATGTGAAATTTAATGTTGATATATGTAAGTATAAAATTAATAATGAAGTTCAAGTAATATGTAAAGGGGTTTATTTACGAGACAAGATGATCCATCATAAAATAAAACGAAACATTAAAATCGAGATAAATACCATTTTAATAGATATATAATAAACTTAATTTATCAAATTCTTATCTATCGTGTAAGTATTTATTGGCAACTTATTTTATGAGTGTAATATTATGGTATATGAAAATGAAAAATTATGATATAATCGTTGTTGAAGATCTTAGTTTATAGGCCTCGGTGGGATTGAAATGAGAAATGGCATCGGGCCTAAAAGAGGGTTTCGGGGAGAGATTCCATTTGCCAAATAAGAGCAAGAAAACGAGAAATATAGGATACCGAGTCGATTCCAAATTTAGAAAATCTATACTCTATGCCTTCCTGAGGTTTTTCGTACACCTACTCACTCTGAATTCTCCAAATTGATTCCTCCAAGACAAAGGGAAATGCGGATTAGTGTCTAGAAATCGTTTTCGGTGTTCGATGAACGGATAAACTCGAGGTTTTCCATTTCTGATTCCATTTCAGCAACAATCAGCTTGATTTTGAGTGCTCGATTCTTGTTTCTGAAGTTCTCGAAATGGACGATGAGGGTGGTGCGGCTATGACTCCAGAGGGCTTGGACTGGAAATTCTCTCAGGTTTTTGGTGAACGTGCAGCAGGAGAAGAGGTTCAAGAAGGTACAGTAACATTTCATCGATGGCTATTATTTAATACTCGTAGATCATATTAGATTATATCTATCTCGTAATCTCTACTGTATTGCCTTGCATATACAAGTTTTGTGTATTTAGTATCTAATTTTAGTGTGTTCAGGTGGTGAGTTTTGCTTAATGTTGCATACAAACATAAACGTTTTGATGTCTAGATTGATTGATAATGGATTTTGTTGCATGTATATACAATGTAGTTATACCTTTTGTTTGATGATCTGAAGTTGAAGGTAAGGGCATTTGGCCTCCAAAGCTGAATTATGTATCTATTTTTACAGAACGCAGGGAGTAAACTGAAAGTACAGAATTTTTGAGTTTTAAAGGTTGGAATTCTGATATTTAAGCCAGAACATAGAGGCCAAATGGTTTTGAAACTAAATTAGGAACTTAGGTGGTCATCCACCGATTTGTTGTATTAAAAAACAATGATTTATCCCATGCATCAACATATTCCAATTACACACTATAGAATATGCCCTTTAAATCCGAAATAAACTAAAGGAGGGAAGAGGGACATTGCACCGGTGAAGCACCAATTGTGTGCCAAGGCCAACCATGCAACAAACTTCTATATCTTTTGCAACCTATACCTATTTGCAATCCTTGTACTGTTAGTCTTTTCATTTGATTGCTGACAATGTAGTTTACTAATTACACTTTGAATGCTTCCACTGCAGTTGATATCATTTCAGCAATAGAATTTGATAAAACTGGGAACCATCTTGCGACTGGAGATCGTGGGGGTCGTGTGGTTTTGTTCGAAAAAACTGACAGAGTAGATGTATGCTGGTTGACCATCTTTTTTGAAATTTGTTTACATTTATTCTCCTGACTTATTGTGATTTAAAGCTAAGATTGTTCACTGATATCCATATTGTAACATGAACATGTATAAAATAGCATGGTGTTCATCGAAGAGTTCTAGAGGGAATGGATTGTTCCAGCAGCCGGCACCCTGAATTTCGCTATAAAACTGAATTCCAGAGTCATGAGCCAGAGGTTCTCTATTGTCTAAATATTTAAAAAATTAGACTCCTTGTTGTTCTTGTTTTATTGTTCATTTTGTTTCAACATTTTTCGTACATGCATATTTATTCTCCCATTCATGCTTGTGATTTCAGTTTGACTATCTAAAGAGCTTGGAAATCGAGGAGAAAATCAACAAGATCAGATGGTGTCAGACAGCTAACAGCGCCATGTTTTTGCTATCTACCAATGATAAAACCATAAAGTTCTGGAAGGTAGAAATTTAAAAACATGGATAGTATTTCTTTTACCACCTCTGTGTGATTCATCGTGTAAAGGTTAATTGTTGTCTCTCCATGGAAGAAAATTAGGTGATGTCATAACCAGCAACTGTTTGTATTTCAAAGCTGCTAATCGCTGAAATAAGCTTTGCTGCTTTGGTATATGCTAATTTCCTTCTATTTTGACCAGGTCCAAGAAAAGAAGATCAAGCAGATAAGCAACTTGAATGTAGAGCCTTCAAGACCTACGAGCAATGGTTTTATTAGTAGTTCTAATGTACCTACCTCGTTCAAAGCATGTTCTGCAAATGGAGGATGTATCGACAATCGCCTGAGTTGTAGGAGCAACAATCTTTCGTTCCTGCCTGGGGGGATTACTTCTCTACGTTTACCTATGGTAGTTGTAATCCGCCTGATTAATTTATTATTTGCATTCTTGATTATTTAATCTTTTTCATCTTAATTTCCATCTGTCATATTCAGGTAACCAGTCATGAAAGCAGCCTTTTAGCTAGATGTCGAAGAACATATGCTCATGCCCATGACTATCATATTAATTCCATCTCGAATAACAGGTGTGCTCTGAACTCTGATATGATATGACTGGCTCTCCCATTTCATTCATGTGTTACCTTTTATACTTTGCACTAGTTCTGTGGACATGCTGGAATCTTGAAAGAAATAACAGAATAGTTCCTTTCTTTTTTGCTGTTAAATGAGTGTTGGATGATTGCATTTCCACCTAGGGGTTGGATACTTGGATATCCATCCTTTTAACAGGCAATAGTTAATCATGCTTGTTGGGTTTTGGCCAGCTTGCGTTGACCTAGAAAATTCTCAAATTGTCTTTCAGTATTGTGATGAGTAGTTGAGTTGAGAAGAGAAAGTGAATTTACCCTTCTAAGAAAGAAAATATTGGCATTTTATGCACAAGATTCTAACACATTGCCAATTTAGTTACATTTTTGTCATTGGGAACATGTTTGAATCTGTACACATTGTGGTGCTCCTAGTACCAGCAGCGTGTTGTATTCATGTTTGGACATGCTGCATTACTGTATTCTTTTTAAGTATATAATATTTTATATAAGGCAAATACTCACGCACACTCCTCAGATTGGTGAGGTTGAACCCTTGACCTCCTGGGAAGTTGGGCTCTATCGGTAACCCGACTACCACTGGGGCAATCACCCTTTGGTTCATGCATTAATCTTGTTAGCTATTTAAATGCCTTCTAATGATGCAGATTTTGGGCTCCCTTTCTGCTTGCTCAGTTGCTCACTTGCTCTATCATGTGTAACTGTTTGTTCTCTTTTTAAGATATATCTGAATGTTATTTGACATTTTTTCAGTTTCAAAGTGAGACAATGGTGCTCTAATCTTCACTTGTTCTTATGTTTCTGTCTATGAACTTTCTTGATTGGGGCACAAGTTATAAAGTGGGTTTTACAAAAGCATGTAAACCATGACATATCCTCATGCTAAAGTTTGCGATAAAAGAACAATTAAACAGGTCCATGCGCTCCTTGTCGAGCATTGAATCTGTCATCTAGGCTTGATACTTGATAGGTTGAGAAAAAGGAAGGGAGGAGAGAGAGATGGAGAGAGAGAGAGAGAAAATAATTTACAGAAGGTAAGTGCAGAAATAACAATTGAAGTGTCCAAATGAGGATCTGCTTATCATCAAGACATGGATTGAGAAATCAACAATCTGAATGTCTTTTCTAAGCATAACTATTGGATGTACACCTTTTATTCTCCATTGTGTTGCATCCTTCTTGACATCTATGGTATTTTTGGGAAGTAACTTTATCTTTTTTCGTTCTGTAGTGACGGTGAAACATTTATATCAGCGGATGATCTGCGTATAAACCTTTGGAACTTCGAAATTAGCAGTCAGAGTTTTAACATTGTTGACGTGAAGCCTGCAAACATGGAGGATTTAACCGGTAGATCTGAATTATAACGGTTTCTTCGTATTTAAATCTAGCTTGCGCAAATTTATTTTTATAAAAAAGTGATTTGCTGTAAGAAATTTGGTCATTTAGGTGCTCTTTGAGTTTTTTTATTTAGACATGGAACTAATTTTACTGATTAAAATCTTTTAGTAAGAGCTTCCTGTTGAAAATTGACCACAGTATCATGCTCTTTTCTTAAAACTTCTATTCAAGTCGAGTTGTAAGATGTACCGAGGCTTGAGTTCATTTGTAACGCTTCATTGTAAGAAATTTGGCCATTCTTTTTCTTCTTCGTATGAGGGTGCATTTGCCCATATTTTGTCAAGAATAGTGAAATGTAATGGGGCTTGAATTCGTTTATGGTGTTTGTGCGTATTGGGTTTAATTTCTCTTTCTGGGGCTTCTTGTGGTCTTGCTGTTGGATTATGCAAGTGCTCTAGTGCTGTAAACTTTAGCACTAGGTCTCTTCACCTTGTCTTTTTTCTTCCCTTGCAAGAGAGAAAATACAATTTGTCCTGTCGTAAACACATAAACAACAGAGCACCTGGAATCATGAAGTGATCCGGGGTTTTTACTTGTTAACACTTGTTTGAATTTGTGGCTGCAGAGGTAATAACTTCAGCAGAATTTCATCCTTCACACTGTAATATGTTGGCATATAGTAGCTCAAAAGGCTCGATAAGGCTTCTTGATTTGCGGCAATCAGCTTTATGTGACACTCATAGCAAATTGTAAGTGCATACCATTTCCTTCCCATCCACATTTGTACATGTGGAATGCATATTGGTGAGGACTTATTAGTTACATAATGAAAGGAGGGAGGGAGGGAGTTAGACACAGATCAACTATTATTTTGGGATTCATTGTACTTGGCTTTTGTTGCAAAAAATCATTGTTCTCGTGAAGATGCTAAAAGGACACTACGTTTTTGTGAGAATGAGCAATTTTGGGAAAAAATGGTTACTACAATGCTTTTCGTTGCATTTACATTTTCGTAATTTGTGCAGATTTGCTCATCCTTGTCAAACAAAGCAAGTTCTTTGCGTTTGCGCAAGAATGATTGTCTATTTGCAAGATAAAAAGCCAATAAGGTCAAAAAAGTTGAATACTCTAGAAATTAAATGTGAGGGACATATCTTGGGTCCATGCAACAGTATTTTTCATGGGGAGCTGGACCTGCTTTTTGTGAGTTCCTCTAATCTAACCGGTGCTTGCTGAGGAATTACTGTGCTACATAGGTCCTTATATAAGATATATCGAGCCCATTGCCTACATGTACTGCATTCACATATGAAGTTCTTTTCTTAATGGGAAGAAGAAAATACTTCTTTTAACTTGTATTTGAATTGTTCATGTACTGCTACAGGTTTGAAGAAAATGAGCCTCCTGGTTCAAAATCTTTTTTCACAGATATTATATCCTCAATTTCTGATATAAAGTTTGCAAAGGGGGGTAGGTATATACTAAGTCGTGACTACATGACCCTTAAGGTACTTTCTTAATAATCCATGAGTGTGCTTTTTTTCTTTAAGATTACTGTTGAATATTTTTCTTATGAAAGCAACTGTCTGGTTCATATATATAGTACACATGCATAAGTTTACCTGTAACATGATGTTCAGGGTGGAAAGACTATACATGCGCCATTAGTTTACAACTGATCAATGCGATTACTTGCAAGAAGTACTTGTATATGGGATTGGTGCAATATAAGTGAAGGCTATTCTGGTATTTTAGTATTTTGGTATGAGCATCAGTCCCAACCTTTTGACTTCCATCTAATGTGTTAACAAGTATATAGCAATGATTAACATTCATATGGAGCAGTTTGCATAACACTCTGAATTTGTGATCCATGATGGGCTAAGCCAATTAGTGAGGTAGGATGTGGAGAGGATAAAAGCTGTTGAAACTCGAGAAATTCTAGAGGTGATTTTTGTATGGAGGCTTATTGTCTTCCAGTGCTCCAAATATGTAGGGTGAGAATGCATAGGTCTGGAGTATGGGGTTTGATGCCATCTTGGGTGCCATAATTGGCATGTTGTGCCATATGGTCCATATCCATCCCAATGATAGATGGTCCCAGTAATTGGCCCAGATGACAACTTTGTTAATAGGGACATCACATATCTTCTGTCTTCACAAAAGGACAATAACTTCTTGTAAGTTTGTCTATAAATCATCTTAGTCCAACAGGGAGTGGCCCTAAGTGTAATCATAATGATTCTGGGCCATGTTTTGACTTTTGTGCAGGTCACCTGCATGGGTTTGGGTTTGCAGATGATGCCCCATTGTTGATTCTTATCTGAAAGGGTACCCATAGGGAATGCATTCCTGGGATGTGAGTAAACCACCTTTGATTACTAACAGTAAATGACTAAGAAGAATTCAAGTCCATAGATGATTAGTTAAATGTGGGAACTGACAAGTTCAGAAGAACAAATAGCACAATCAATTTGCATGGCACTATTTGGCGTTGGTGATGAATGGACTTAGATGCACGTCTGCTGGTCAAGGATAAGAGAAAAGTAGGCAGGTCTACAGAGAAGATACCACATAAATAAAAAAGAGCAAATGCACCAAAATGGAACCGACTTTTTTTTCATTCCTATTTTGGGGACCCAACTTTCAAAATTCAATTTTGGGGATCCAACTTTCAAAACTCTCGGACCGGTGACCAAATTCATGTTCCCAATATAGGAAAGAAAACAAAGTTGGTTTCATTTTGGCTCCCTAAATGAGAGGTTTTGAAAGCTGGTTCCCCAAAACAGTAACATAGGCAAAGTTGGTTTCATTTTGGTGCAATTTAATAGAACATGAATATTCTGCATCTTAAAGAACTGTACATTTACTTGAAAAATAAAGAAATGATGTATCTACATGCTGAAATCTGTTGTCTGAAGGTGGCTGGCCAGGCGCCTAATAGAAAATTAGTGTAATTTCTTGATTTTGGAACAATGCTTGCCCCCAAAAGAGGAGCAAAAAGGCGTCTATTAGTTAATTACATGCCTGGTGAGAATTCAGGTTATGTCTGATGCCTTGAATGAAAGGACTCTGCACCTCATGAGATTTTCTGTGGTGGGTAAATCATTGCAGTAAATCACGGTTACAATGATTAAAAATGTGCTAGATGTGATAAAAAATTACACATGTAGTAGAAACTTGGTTCTCTAACAAGCCAGAAATCAAAATTTCAACAGTGACAAAGTCAGAGCAAAGATAAATACAAGTGCCAAATTTCTTCAAATTCATGTCCGTACAGTTGTAACGTGCTTCACTTTTTCTTTGCATGCTTATGTGGTTTGTTCATCTCAAATAATGTTTGGAATAATATGGTGGTTTCCTGAGGAAGATTTCTTATGTATGCATATACACAAGTATTGGAATAATATACTGCTATTTGTTTATAATTATGTATTCGTTGAACTCATGCATAATTGCTCAAATGTCTCTGTGAAACACTCGTAGGCCTAACCAGCTGTCTCAGTTCTCATACTTGGTTTTCATTCTTGTTTGTCAGCTGTGGGACATAAATATGGGTTCTGGCCCAGTTGCAACTTTCCAGGTGCATGAACATTTGAGACCCAAGGTATTAAAACTTTCACATGGCTCCGTTTAATGTTTAATAGAACTGTAGTAGCTTAACAAGATCCACCTTGTGAATCAAAGTCTCATTCTTTGTCTCTCCTTCAGCTGTGTGATTTGTATGAAAATGATTCGATCTTTGACAAGTTTGAGTGTTGTCTGAGTGGAGATGGACAGCGGGTTGCAACTGGTTCATACAGGTCTGACTTGCACTTTCTTGATTGTTAGTGCCCTGTTTTAGTACTTACCCAATTCATGTTTCTATTATCTGGCTATCTGCCTCCAAATTCTAGTTTGTTTTTTAAAACGGCCACTCCAGTTTTAATTACAGTTGTACATGCTTGGGACTAATTGGTATCTTTTGTGCCATGTATATCAACGTTAGTGTGCATCATTATGTGCAATGTGCATTGCCAACCATGTATTTTTCTAACTGCTAAATGGACCACATTAGTAAATGTGGCTAACAGCTTTGGGGAGAGGGTTGTTCGTTTCAATGCCAAATGAAAAGAAAAAAAATCAGAAAACTAAATGTGAACAGGCTGAGCTATCGACTCTGATGTAAACCATGACCAAGACATTTGAGATAGACTTCTGTTTTTCTATGAGGACTTGAAAGTTCGATGTTGTACTAACTATAATTTGTAATCCAGCAATACGTTTCGTGTGTTTGGTTGTTCTGAGGGCAGCTCAGAAGCAACAACTTTAGAGGCAACCAAGAATCCTGCAAGGTATTATTGGCAAATGTGAACGAGACATTTACTTCTGCTCATTTCTCAAACTTATAAATACTGTATTTCATGTTGTTTATGTTTGTAATGAACTAATAGGAGACAAATTCAGACCCCTCCAAGATTCTTAAGATCCCCTGGAAACCAGTCCCATGGCGTTAACAAGCGAGGTATGTACATCATTTCTACCGACAATTATTTCATTGGCGCCTGATTTTTGACACCAAATTTAGGATGACAATTAACCTGCATATAATCATAAACTATGTCCATAATCATCAATAAGAACCCTGGATAATTTCACATCAAAGTGACATGTTAATATTAAAAGGTACATAAATCAAATTACTACATCCATCTCCGAAACATAAACCATAGTTGGTGTTAAATGAGTTGCTCTTCTTATCCCATGAGAACCGCATCATTTTCGTCCCGGGCATTCCTTTTTGGAAAGGTTTCCTGTTAAGATTACCTATTTGTCCATGATAATGTTTCTAAATTCTGTAATTTGTTGTCTTGTGTCAAATGAGTTTCTTCCTCTATCCTATGAGAATTACAGCACATTTTTTGTCCCACAAGAATTATATGCAGGTTAATTGTCTGTATACACAGATAAATATCAATGACTTAAAGAGGCTTCTATGGAAGGCAATCTAATATATTTAGGTCTATTTAAGTCCAAGCTATATGGGCCTAAACATACTTAAAATTAGTGGGTCTAAATAGACCTATATTAAATGGAGTATTAAGCAGATGGTGACTAATTATTTAATGATTTGTCCTTCAGAGGGATCAGATTATAACTCAGGAGGAGTTGACATGAACGGAAACACTTTTGATTTGTCAACAAAGTTGCTCCACCTTGCATGGCACCCTAATGAAAACTCGATCGCTTGTGCTGCTTCAAACAGCCTATACATGTATTATGCATGAAGATGGAGTGTACATTGTTGTTACTTGGACTTGGAAATTGTGGCTTTTGTCATGTAGTCGAAACACAGGCATTTAATGTGTCAATGGATCCATCGTCAAATTATATCTGCAGCACCAACCTCAAAAGCTATATATGGAGAAAGGTAGGTGCAGTTCCGTATCATTAATTATTAATGTCGTACTATACTGTTTAGATGGAACGAATATAAGCTCTCCTACAACCAAAAAATTGAACCACAGGGTTTATTTTTGGATTGGGAGGAAGAAGCTGTGTGTGTGTGTGTGTTGTGCATAAATTATGTTTAGACCTGGACTTAAACTGTATATTTGTTGAATGGGAGAGTTTGAGACTCATTTATATGTTATGTTGGCTGCTAGTCTTTAGATTGCAAAATTGGGAGCAATATATATTATTTTTATTGCACATTTTTTGTTTATGGTAATTGTAAATGGCCTACTGTTTTTGAATCATAAGGTTCCATCCTAGATACTATAATTATGTGTTTCATTTTGGTTGTCCCATATCATATGTTTCTTTTGTTCCTCCATTGGAACCTGCCTCCATTTTTTGGTTCATTCACCCTTCCTTGTATTTGGACGAAGTCATCCTGTCGTTGCGAAACACTATAACTCACCTAGTCAAATCTAATCTAATTTCAACATGTTCCATTCAGGTATCAAACTTAATCTTAAAAACATACAAATATTTGATTATTAATTCAAAACTTAAACAATATGTTGAAATCAAAATCAGTCTTGTTTAAGGGTAATCAAAATCAATCATATGGGTGCATTAATTTTAGTCATTGTTACAGGTGTTTAACATATCTATTTTATTTTTATATAACATTAAAAGATAAATATGTAATAATATATGTGCTTCATTTATGTAACGTTAAAACAATTAAGATGAAACTCATAAAATAACAATATAAGTTTTGGATGATCAAAATTCAAGGCGCCTTAATTTCTCACAAATGGCAATATCAACGAGTTCTAAGGACTCGTTGTTCCTTCAACAATTAAAATGGATAAAAGTAAATCTGTTATCCCTTACAAAATAAATATATTTATTTATCGGACATTTTATTTATAATAGGCATGATATGGATAAAGTATATTTTTCGTTACTTAATTATTATTCATTAAAATATAAATAATAATAATAATAAAAAAACTCACTTAATATATAAATGATATGGATATGGTTATGATTATGAGTTTTGTAACTGTTCGTTTGGTTCTCCATTATTTTGATTAGATATGATGGGGTAACACAATAACTTTTATCTAAGATTCTAAATTATATGAGATGTTGAGTGATGGCAAAGTCAAGCCTACATTTTCCACAATGTGGCTTATGATGACAAAGGTAAGTAAAACACTAAAAAAAGTAAAAAAATCAAATATCACGTTACAAAAACCACACATAGGGTCATGACGTGCCTCATGCTTAACATAGCGTCAGACACGAGTCTTGGGCCACGACGGATATCACGACGAGCCCTTCAAAAACCTTGCTTTTATCCAATCTATACCGTACACGTTGCCAATCCTAACTCAAAACACTACAAGGCCATTTAATAAGAACACTTATCTTGGTAATTAAGCATTTATCGGTTCAACTATCATGTTGGGTAAACATAACAAGGATCGAGAATCTTATCCAGTAAGAAGGAAGACAAGGATGAAGAGTTTTACCCGGTGAGTGAGAGTGATTACCGTGTTATAAACACTTATCCATCAATCCAATTTGATGACCGAGAATGTTGCCTCGTAATTAAAAAAAGGCTTAACTGGTAAATGTTTGGTAAAAACAGCCCCTACATCTAAGATGGGAAGCTGTTGGAAGTTTGTGGTCACCCAAATCCAACCATGGTAATTGGGTGGGGTTATTAAGATGTAGTTTGCAACCATGCTCCAGCCTTTGCTTTAACAAACATCAAGAGGATCCTCTGAACATAAAGTCTTCCCCTCAATGAATCTCCTTTTTGTTGCATTAGATTTTTTTTTTTTTTAAATGGAAGAAAAATATGCAGAGAGAGATTTTGTTGGACCACATTTAATTGAAATATTAATTACCGATGTTATAATCACATTTTATAATATTTATGTGTGTGGAAAACACGAAAGTAAGAAATTTAATTAATGGTTAAAAATGATGATGATGATAGATACATGTCAAGTCAACTAAAGTTGGAAGATTTGCATTTTGTTGATTTCATACTTAATCAAATCATTAATTAGAAACAAATATGAATATCAATTAATACTTTATGATGATTCTTAATTTTTAAATCAACATGTTGACTTTTGTAAGTGTATGCTAAGTACCAAATTAAGAGGGTCTTGTTTATATAATATTTGAAAATTAATAGAATAGAATAGAATAGGTTGTAAATTGTGTTTGGATTTGATTATGGTATATAAATTTAAAATTACTTTAATTTATAAGTAATTAACAAAATCTTAATTATTTAAGAAACGAACGACAGTATAACTTTTTGATAGACAAGAAGTATGAAAATTGTCTAAAATAATATACTAACTTCTTCTCCTCTGCTGGTGTTAATATGAAAATAAATAGGTGAAAATTTATTTTCATATTAACACCTTTGCTATTGAATGCTAAAAGAAAAGAAAGATAAAATGTCAACCATATAAATATAAAGCAGTTCCCATATTCTAGAAACACATAAAAGGGCACTTTCCCAATCCTCATTATCTGATAGGATACAGGGGTCAGGGGTGCCCCACTCTCTGACTTTTTATTTTTGGAAATTAGGGCTCCAATTACATTTTGGTTTTATTTAAACAAAATTGATTACCCAAGATTTTAATCTCTTTTTTTTTTTTTTTCTTCTTCATATGAACCTGTTTTTAAGAACATCTACATCTACTCAATGATTGAGTGAGAATAAATGTGTGTTATATTTTTGAAAGATAATCAATCATATTTGGTTGATTGAAAAGTGAATGAGATAATTAAAGTAGTTTAAACAAAGTCCATAGGTGAAACCAATAAATTCATAAGTAAAACAACGATTTTTGTTTAATGTATGAACTTTAGTTGTTCTAATTTTTTTTTACCAAAGTTCATAACTGAAACAAGAAATTTCATTATCTCATTTCAACATGGTAAGTCAATGAGATAATTAACTACACATTCTTAGGAAAATTAAAACAATCATTTTGATTTTGATTTTGAGTTGTTAGTTTATTTTATTTCTATATATAATCATTACATTTGCAAATGGATTGGAAGGTTAAAATGTTATCTAGGAATGGGTTAAAATGTAAAAAAAGAAAAAGAAAAAGAAAGAAGATCGTGAAAGTGGAGGACCAAATCTATAAATAGAATCCATGGAATTTGGTGATTCCCATCTTTAAAGGGGAAGTAATGTAATGTGAAATGGTGGCAACTTTCTTCAATGGAGTTGAAACTTTCTTCATCAGTTGGTCAAATTCAAGGTACAATATCCTCATGTTTCTGCATGCAAATATCACATTATATTATTCATCAAATCTAATTAATGTTTTTAATAAACCAATAATAAATGTTATTTTAAAAAATATATATATATATAGAGGCCTATTCAAAGGAGAACTGAGTTGTTTGTGGTAACTGTGAGAACCAATCTCAACCAATCATTTTAATATATTAATTATACAATTAAAATCAAATTAAAAGGGTATGTTAGTCAATTCTTAATTTAAAATTAAATTTTAATTTTTAAAATGCAACCGTTTCAAATAAAATAATTAATATTGATTTGCATTCCAAAAATAAAATATTGATAAGATTTAGTGAAATAATTTCAAAAAAATTTATCCGTTTGTGCAAACATGTTCATGATTCTGATAAATTACATGAAAT